GAGGAATATGGTGGTGGAGCAGAGGGATAGGGGTTAGGAATGGGACAAGATGGATAGGGAGTGCTTGTCAGTGGACCCAGGTTAATGGGAGCAAACGTGTCCGATTGTCCCATAGGGGACAGAGGCGAATTGAGTGAGCCGGTGAGGGGGCAGCCGATATGGTTGACAGTCCTCCTATAGTCTCTCTCTTTGTCGACATCGAAGAAGCTGAGAACACAGCCGAACTACTTGGAGGTGTCCGTATATTTGTGGGGGAACCCATCAAAGTAGAGGCAGAGGCCACATTATGATATTGGCGTACACCGGTTGCTGCAAGAGCTGCTGCTATTGCCAACTCTTCATCCTCATTATAACCCGTCAAAGGGACAGTTTCCTCAGCTTCCTCTCTTTCCTTTTCTGCCTTATTTCTTAGCTGCTGAGCCACCATTACCTTTGCTGCTGAGTTTTGTCGACTTGCCAAAACACTCTGCGCCTGTCGTTTTTCACTTTCAGTAATCCACAAATTAAGCGCTTCTATTTGGGGGGTCATATTATGCTTTCTGCAGACACAATTACTGCACCCACCTTGCTCAGATTTGGCATGGACCGTTGCCGAAGAGCAGCAATACGGTCTTTATTAAAGGATCCGTCTGGAGGCCAAGAAAAAGGTTGGCCCTTAGTTAATTTAGTCCAGGTCCGTAAATAACGAACACTGTGCTGGCCAAAATGACTTTCCATATAGGCAGCTGGGGTGCCCTTATCTCCCTTTTGAGTCGAGCTAAATGTTTGTCCCATGACGATTGTTAATAACGAAGTAAATGGCCTGCCCACCACACTTTAAATACAAACAAGTATCTAAATGACTTAAACTTCAACGGCCGACTTCTTATACATACAAGATCTTAACTTATCAAGACATCTAACTTATCAATTACCACTTATAATATTAGGGACTCAAACCCTTAGTTTATCAACCTTAATATTAAACAACTTTAATATTAAACAACCTTATTAGGGACTCAAACCCGTAGTCGACTTAAACAACCGATCGGAATTATAACTTTATCTGTGTCGGGCAGAAACACCAGTAGCCGACTTCCCAGAAGACGTCTTATCCATATACTATACCTTATAGTACTAAACCGCCTGGAAACATTTAGGTCTAACAAATCGCAATTTTGCACCTTAAATTGAAGAGGTCGGGGACCCTCGACAACCACGTCTCAACCATGTATCGTACACAAACAATGTTAAGAATGCTCACCTGTGCACGATGTTTGTGCTGATAAATGCAGAGCCGTGGAAAGCCAAAGGGAAAAACCCGGTCTTTCGATCTCGGTGGAACCTCCAAATTGTTAAATTCTGATTGCGATGTGCAATTGCTCTTAAAGACCTGAAAAACTCAACACGGAGTCAGTGCGGTAAACATCAAAAAACACTTTATTTCATATATGAGGTGCAGAGCAGTAGCAATAACTCTTTCAAGATACTGCTCCCCTCCCTCCACACCAGATAAAACCAACATCTGTCTTTTATACAGGTTCCACTTTCCAAAATTGGATGTCTGTTTATTTCAGAAAAGAGATATGGGTCCCGAGTTCCTTAGCACAATAACATATACATTGATAGTTGCAAACCAAAACAAAGCTATTCTTACACCAAATGCGAAAACATGTTTTGTCTCATTGTCTTTGCTTATTCTATAACTTTTACGATTGCCCAAAGAACAACAACATTACCTCACTTTCCACAGAGGTTGAGGTGAGGAGAGGCGGTGGATGAGGATAGAATGGTCGATGGTGTCGAAAGCAGCAGAGGATGAGGAGGCAGACGGAGCCCTGGTCGCAAATGGACAGAATGTCATTTGTCACTTTGACCAGAGAAGGGGAAGGGTAGAGAAGGGTCCAGGGAGGGTTTTTTTAAGGATAGGAATGATGCCAGCGGTTTTTAAAGGAGTGGGAACAGTACCAGAGGACAGGGAGTTAACAACATCAGTGAGTAGAGGGGCAAGGAGGTGGAGCTGGGAGGTAAGGAGGGGGCTAGGGGTGGGATCCAGGGAGCAGGTGGTGGGTTTCATATGGGTTATGGCGGTGATGAGAGAGGAAGGGGAGACGTGTTAAAAGGTGTGGAGGGAGGGGTGGGTAGGGGCTGGGGTGGGAGGAGGAGATGGGGAGGGTGTAGTAATTGGAGTGGCAGAGGCAGCGTGACCAAATTATTATTATTTTTACAGGACTTTTTCAATCCCTTTATTTATCGTGGAGTCCTGTAGCTCAGTGGTTAGAGCACTCGCTTTGCAAGTGAGAGACCTGAGTTCAATTCCAGGCAGAGGGCGAAACCTTGGGCAAGTTTCCTTACTCCACACAGAGCCTAATAATAATCCCTCCAAAACCAAAAACAATAATAAATTGGTCATTTTCAATCTACGACTGTTTGTGGGACATTGCTGTGCGCAATTGGCTGCCGCGTTCGCCCACAAATATACAGTCAATTCACTTCACAGTGTGTCCTGTGAAGCGCTTTGGGACGTCCTCCCGACGTGAAAAGCGCTATATCAAATGCAAGGATTATTATTATTATTATCATGTCATTAGCAAACGGTAAAACATTTGACTTCATTTACAATGAAATATCAGGCACTACTTTATAAATTGATTGAAAATTTTACCTGCAGTTGATTTTGCTGAGCATTAGATTCAAGTCAGAAAACTAATCTGGTTTCAGTGAACGATCTTGTAGGTTTTTATGTTCAAGTGGGGGATAGCGAGCACAATAAAAGATAAACTGAGTGCCGAGCATTCACCTCGTTCTCTAACAAAGAGACAGCATAAAAGCTTCATAAGCATAAAACATCTACTAGGTGTGATTTCAAGATTGATCATTCACTAAAAGTTCATTTTGTAATTTTCTGATCAATCTTGTTAAATCAATTGCATACAAACAGCAATTGTCTGGGTCGCAGTCCAAGGGCAAGATTTCACTGCAGGATACACTATGTACTGTAGTCCCGAAGATTAATAGCTTTTTTAAGGCAGAAGCCATTATACGTAACCACCAGCAGTAAGCTACCTACCTGTTGATTTAGTAGCAGACCTGGCCACGTTAATGCTGTGAAATACAGTGAAGGTAATGCTGGCCCAATTCAATGTTATCTTGGGTTTTCACGCCATTACAAAAATACTCGTTTTAAGCTTATGGGAAATAGTACGTAGGTAGTTTGGGACATATGTGCATGCAACCGCTAGGAAGGTGGAAGCCGAACTCGATGGATCTTGGTATTTTTTTGTCTATCATTTCTTATGTATGTTAGTTTCTTATGATGTGCAGAATACAAAAAAAACTTCATGCGTTTGATACAGGCCTCGTTACATCAAAATATCTCAAGGCACTTGCTTCACAGGCAATTGCAGTGACTGTTTTCGCCCACAAAAAATGCACAGTCACTCCACTCTACAATGTATTTTGTGAAGCGCTTTAATACAAATCAACAACATGGTAAGGCACTGTATTAAATGCAAGGATTATTATTATTAGTAGTATTTGTAGATGAATGAAGCAACCAATTTGAGCTCGACAAGATCCCACAAACAGCCATGAGGTGAACGACCAGTTCAAATACACTCAGTGTAGACATTTCTCTACTCCTAACACTAATCCTTGTACTTATCTCTTTGTTACATCGAACCATCTCAAAGCATTTCATCACTGAGTTTTCTGAGTTGGGTCTCATGACTGAGTTGGGTCTCATGACCCAACTGTGCAGCGCCTTGGGACGTCCTCCTGACGTGAAAGGCGCTCTATAAATGGAATCTTGTTGTTGTTGTTGTTTCTGTGATGTGTAGTTCTGTGTGTTCGTAGATGTAAGAAGTGATGAATACACTTTCCCCTTAATTCTATAATAGGTACATTTATTATGGGGGAAACATATAAATAACTCTAAAATCTGACTACTTGAAGAGTGGAAGAGGTATCACTCTGGGTCTTATAGAAAATACTCAGGATTCTTTTCCCAACAGACCTCTAAGAATGGCTTACGAAACCCCCTTAACAATCTGGATACTTGTAACCTTTTTATAGATGTGAATAGATCGCATTAAGGTTCGTCATTAATTTGTAGCAGTCTTTTTTTGAGTCAAATTGTGAGTTCAAGCCCCACAATGGCATTTTGAGTTTGTAGTCCAAGGCTCACAGTATTGGATGGGGAAATGAGAGAGAGAGAACGCACTACATTGATGGGAGTGCCGTCCTTCGGTTGAGTCAAAACCCTAAGTTGCCACCTGCCTGTGCAGATGAACATTAAAGATCCCGTGGCAACGATACAGAAATTAACTGGAAATGTTCGTTTAAAAGGAACAGCTGTGAAGCACTAATTCATTCCTTTAAATACAGTACTGGACTAGTGTTTCCTTAACAGGAACCATTAAATAAAGCAGCTGGCAGATGGTGGTTTCACTTCAGATTTCTGCTAAATAACAATCACGGCCACAATAACTATAATTGTTCCCATCAATGTTGCCTTAAAGAAACTATTGAGAGCAAAAATCCACCTGGGTCTGAGTTTACTCAGTGGGGAATGAGCAAGGAGCTGAACGCAGCATAGTTTGTGGAGTTCACAAACTGACTCAGTTCCGGTCACACATACATATACAGCCTTTATTTACAATACCCCATTCCCGCACAGCAGTGTCTCATAAAGAGTCTTGCGTGACTATTTTCTTTCAAGGGATTTTGGAGTAAATGATGACATGAAAGTCTATAAAATCTATGATTTGACACAATAAAATTCCCAAACGGTTTTAATTGATCCTGTTGGAATAAATTACACCTTGAGCACCACAAGCCTGTTCAGGTTTCAAACAGGGAACAGACTCCAACGACTGTGGGCATGTTATATGCCGACCACACCAGCAATGAGACTTTACCACAGTCTGTGTCATAGCCATTCAGTACATCAACCAGTCCATCTTCTAACAACTCAATAACAGCCAAGCCTCCTTTGGTCTTTCATGTTTTCCTCTTTTTTTAATAGAAATACAACATAAATATAGGTACATGGGAAAAACAAAACTAGCAGAGAGGGGGGCAAATTTTTTGGGGGGAGGGTAGCAAGTCAGGGTCTATCAAGGTGGAAGTGTGGGTTTATTTATGTTACATCCTCTGATCAAAAGCTGCTCAACACAGCGGGTATATCTTTTTTTTAAAAAAAATAATAGGACTAGCATAGTGAGTGATGGGCAAGTGCAGTTCATCCCAGGAAATGACGAGCAACTCAGCTCCATAGATTTTTGCCCACCGACGCAGAAGAAACTTGGCTCGTTTTAGTGAGGAAGTCTCTGTGATCCGTTACTCTGTGCAGCTACACAAAAACCAACCAGAGAGCTGGCTTTTGGCTCAATCATCGGTGAGGTCTTGAACGAACAGAACTTCACAGCGGCTCAATCCTGCCTCCTGCAGGGTAGGAGGAATCGGTGTTTTCTCCGTGGCCAGGCAGGGAAGCACTCTCCGCGGAAAGTTAGCCACTATTTGGAATTTCTCGGGAGTTTCTTTCAGGGAGAACAAGAAGTCGTGGATCAACTGTCGTGAGAGAAGAAAGACATGTAAAATTTCCAGTGGTCTATCCTAATCCTCTCTTTTTTTAATAATAATCCTTGCATTTGATATAGCGCCTTATGTCTTCAAGATACCTCAACGCACTTCACAGAATATGCTGTGAAGTGAATTAACCGCATAGTTTGTGGACGAATTATTAGTTTAATTATTAATATTAGTCAGAAAAGTCAATCACTGATTCTTAGTTTCCAATTATATTTGTGTTTCAACTAAACAGTTCAAAAACGTTTTTCTGTATTTCTTAACAAATGGAGTCATGGCACATTTTCTGCTTTTGCACGGCATTCAGTACGAGAGACATCGTCTCACCATTAATGACTGAGTAAATAATATGAGAGGAGAGTCTCACCATTAATGACTGAGTAAATAGAAACCGCCGCTCCACTCGTGTATCGTTTGGCATTTTAAAGATGATTTTTACACTGTTTGGATCGTCTGGAAGTGGCTCTGGGGGAAGACCTTCTGATTTGCGTTCCTTCTCTTCCTGCAAACTCTTTAGTGTCATAAAGAGAGAATGGTAAATAAACAGTAGGTGCTTGGCAAACCGTCACAGGCACAGCTTCGATTGTTTTACATTTAGAAGCTTTAATATGCATGCCGAAGAGACTTAATAAAACACACTTAATAAAACGCTGGGTGGGGACATTTTAAAACACACACACACAATATATATACAGGCAAGTACAGTAAAAGTTGGGATTTGTCAATATTTTCACCAATATAAGTTTACGGATATAATAATACGGATATATGGATGAAGACAGGAGTGAGCAGCTTCTTAAGCATGAAATCAATTGACAGTCTTACCAGTTGTCTTCTTTCTTCTGCGAGTATCTGTTGCCTTGCCTCTTCTTCCTCCTGCCTCTTCTTTTCTTGTTCTTCCTTTTTCTTCCTATCCTTCTCCTGATCGGCTCGGAGCGAGGCCAAGTATGCCTCGTCTTGTTGCTGCCTTAATGCTTGTGTCTGGTTCCTCTCCTCCCTAGATTAACAGTCCGTCAAACATCAAAACAGTCCTTTTCCCAACGGGCAATAAGTCACCATTTGAAAACAAATTAAATCCCTTTATTAAAGCACTCGAAGCAAAGTGGATTTAACAGATACAACCATAGACATTTACAGCACCATTTGTCCCATTGGGTCTGGGCTGGGTCTTTTAAAGAGAAATCCTTTCAGTCCCATTTACCTACCCGGCCCTACCTCCCCAGTAGTGCTGTCTCATGGAGCGCTTATTAGTGGTGGAATCTGACGCCAGGCAGTTTACACAGTTAATATTCAACAATCCAGGTGATTTTCACTTCTGAGTTGAAGTATTTTTCCCTCTTGCGGGGAAATTTCCCCAACCCCCTGCCCAAACATCTGGTTGCTACCTGCAGCACACCACTTCAGGTTATCAGTGAGAAGATTTTCTTGTCATACCTTTCGAGACGTTCTGATACCAGGTACGTGGTGTTAGCATCTATAATAAATGTCAGTTGATTGACAAAATCTTCTGGCTGCAAAAGGCCCTCCAAGCGACCTACCACGGTCATCCGCTGTTCTTTCAACATAATCATTGCCAGAAAGGGATACGTGTTCTCTCGTAGAGCTTGAGAGACTGAAAATAACACATACTGGTTAGATTACAGCTTCCCCCTGACGACGATGAAACAACAGCTTGCGTTTAGACAGCGTCTCTGCAATCGCTCCCAGCAACTTCAATAAAAACCCTTCATCGGGTCGTGTTGTACACATGCAATTGGTGACCGTTAATTAGGAGGTAAATCGGAGAGTATTTTAAGACAAACTTTACCTGAGTCACAGTCTGAACTTGCTGGTTAAGTCTTCCCCGACAATAACCAGCAGTTAGTTATCTATCTACCCCACCGCTCCCCACCATCCAGTCCATATCTGTAACACTATCTTTTGGATTGGATGGGCAGTGAACGTTGCCAGGCTATTTTGCAATAAACCTTCCAAGGCACGTACAGACACACACACAAACACTATACACATAGCAGCTTAGCAAAAAGCTGATTACAACAGTCACACTTTATAGGAGGCGCTGGTGAAGAAGGAATGGCTATCACACATTAACACAATGTTGAATTTAGCCGTACCCAACAGCAGCTGACTGTAATCTACTGAAGTTTAAAAACAAATGGGAGCATAATTCAGCTGTGGAATTAATAATAATGATCCTTGCACTTGATTTAGCGCCTTATCACGTCTTCGAGACGTCTCAAAACTCTTCACAGGATATACTGTAAAGTGGGTTGACTGTGTATTTTTGTGGGTGATAATAGCTTTTATGGTAATAAGATCCAAACGGCTCACCTCTGTAGCCCTCGGGCTTACTGGTGGAACAGGCCCAGAAAAGCATCCTAGTGTTGATGAAGCTTACAATGTCAGGAGAGCACAGAGTGGTGCTGTACGCAGAGAGAAAAAAAACACACCCAAGACTTAGTTGTTTTGTAACTGAATAATATACCCCACTTCACAATGTTTTCCTGTAGACTCAAAGTATCTAAACTCAACCCCTCTGAGCCATAAGGTCAGCTCCTGCGTTATAATGGGGCATGTTCTAAAAACGTCCTCCGGCCTGCACGGGTCACTGACAACTTCAGTAAAACCACGCTGCTCGTTTATGCAGCACATCGCATTTATATAGCGTCTCTCACACAGGGTAGTGTCCCAAAGAGTGCTTGAAATACATCGATTCCCATCCACAAACGGTGTGACGGGAATCAGACTGTACGTTTGAAGATGAGGGTGCGGTTTAAAAAGAAGAAAAATTCACAAAACTTTATCAAACACTTTAAATGTTGAAGTTTTACTCAGCAAAACTAATTTTGAGAGCTGGAAGTTCATTACAGATACAACAGCAAAATTACATTTGTAAAGTGCTTTTCACGTCTGGAGGAAATCCCAAGGTGCTGGACAATCAGTGTTTACTGATTGTCAGACACTTACCGGCAAAACTCATCTGTGTCCTGATGGTCATCTCCGTGAAGGTAAACTAATAAATAGCGCAGCTCCCGCTTGGCATCGTTCAGTGCCTGTGTGAACAGTTCAAATACTTATTACATTAGTGCAAAAATGATTGTAAAACACAATGAAAAGTAAATTGCATTTAAACGAAAAGTAATGCAGCAAAGCTAAACCGAGAACAAACCAAAATTATATTGAACTACAAAGAACGTACTGTAATTTTCAACAAAATATATTGGGTGAAACTTGCAGGATAAAAGGTTTTAAGAGCAGAACTCCAAATGTTACCACAAAAAGACTTTTACCTCACGTTAACAAGGTGTGACTGCAAAGGATAAAACTGCCGGTTTGGAGCGTAGGCAGCAGCAAAATACATTAAGGTAATTGTGTGAAATAGCTTAAATGTAATAACCAAAATACTAACAAAAATACCTGTTTCAACCTTGTAATTCTTCTGAAACAAAATGAGTTTAACAACTTCAGTTAAGACTTTAATTATGTACTGCTATGTATAATCTTAAAATTAGAAGTAGGTCCATTAGGAGTGAAAACTGGAAGCATTTTTTCACACAAAGGGCAGTGGAAATCTGGAACTCTCCCTCCTATGAAGCTGTGGATGCTGGATGGATCCATTCAAATTTTCAAGACTGAGTTGAATAGATTTTTGTTAGGTCAGGGTACCAAGGGATATGGGGCAAAGGCAGGTAATTTGAGGTACAGGTCAGCCACAATCTAATAGAATGGCAGCAGCTCCAAAAGGGTGATCAAAGTACTCCTGTGGCTACACCTGCTTTCAGAGCAGGAAAGCTGCAACCCTCACTGTGTTAATGAGCCGTGACAATCAGCTTTGATCCCTGATGTGCAGAGTTAGCAGGTCTCAGCAGGGACAAAGTGGAGTTTAAATAGGACCCACCAAGCCTTTGGGGAAGAGAGAAAATAAACTAAAATCTGGCTAATGCTTCCTGCACCCCATCCCTATTTGCTGCAAAATGTGTGTTTGTGTGGACAGAACGCTCCTCAGCTGGGATAGCCAATGTGATCAAGCGCCCTGTTAACATTCACTGTTCGGACTCACACTTGGGCTTTCTGGAATAATACTCCAAGAAAACATCACCACCTTCAGGAATGGAGGGGAGTTAACATTTGCATATAATGGTGCACACAAGAGTTTTGTATTTTGTTGATCAGCTGGGTGTCTGACTCACGTGGGAACCCATCACTCTACTTAAAGAGTCTCCAAACCAAACACAGTTTCCATGCATCCTACTTACACGTGGAAATTCCCATGTATTGGAATGGATCATGCACTCTCTTTCCCCCGGACGGACGCATCCTGCTTACCTAATTCCGGAGAGCATTAGGGGCAGGTTGGCAAGAGCCCAGGCTTGGGGGCAGCCCAAGTGTTGTTGTTGTTAGTGTGTGTTGGGGTAACTGCTGGAGTCTAAGCAGCTTTTTTAAAAAAACATATAGCTCGCATCAAATTAATTCTGAAATATCAAAATTGTCCAAGTGCTCTTTGGGTGCAAGTTGACGAGGGAGGTGGCATTGCTTTACAGACCTGGCTGTAGGTTCCCTGGTAGAAGACTGGATGGGTCCTTCCGTACTGTTCCTCAAAACTCTGAATAAACGCAACTACATCCCCGACGGGATCAGTGACACGGCTCCTGGGATCCGGCCGGATAAACCGGATTGCAAACCTGTTCAAAAAGACAAGAATTTTAACTTCATGAATTTGTCTCTTTTTTTTAAGGCGTTTTCTAAACTTTTTTTTAGAAATTTAGGAGAAAGACACCCCATTATCTCACCTAAAGATATCCAATAGTGTGTAATAGGTGAATCGGAATGGAAGCATTATCAAGTAATAACTCCACCCTAAGAGTCCCTGCAAAATTAAACAGGTGAGGTTATTTTACATTGACAAACCACAAGAACTCAATCTGGGTTACAACTACACACAAAACACCCACACTCACACACAACACCCACACACACAACACCCATGCACACAAACACAACACACGCGCACACACAAACACCTCTTTGAGGATGAAAGTAATAAACTTATTGAAAAATATCTTGAATTTGACACCTATCCTTGCACCCAAAGAACGCGCAAAAAGAGAGTCTTGCTCGGTAAAAGGATTCCGTCAAAAAGCACCTCAAATGATTAAGATTTGAGAGGTGATGCCCCTGGACATTGCAAGTCAAAGCCTCACAATATAGAGCGAATCGGCACAAGTCATCAAACCAGTGGCAACACGATCCAAATCAATGTCCAACATGATTTATGATAACATAATAATAATCCTTGCATTTGATGTAGCGGCTTATCACATTGTTGAGACATCTCAAAGCTCTTTGCTTTGAAAGCAGATGCCACTCTGGTATGCTGTTTTCACTGACACAAACAGTGAAGGCTTACAAACCAGCCTGTCTAGTGCTTTCCTCACCCTATAATATAAATAATCCTTGCATTTGATATAGCGCCTTATCACGTCTTTAAGACGTCTCAAAGAACTTCACAGAATATACTGTATATTCACCCTAGGCTGGGGTCTTGAAACAACATAGCTATAGATCCTGTGGTCCGCTGTGTGGACTTGAAGAGGACGAGAGGAAGGTGGGTTGAAGACACTGGGGACCCCTTCTTGCTCGTTCAGTCTATCCTGAACAGCTGCCTGAAAGTTCAATGAGAAAGAGGGAATTGTGAGTAAAACAACAAGTCGAAAAGGATCAGTTTCTCACAATATTACATTCAATAAAGTAAAAAAAAATTCCAGGCATAAAAAAGCACCCCCGACACTACGTCTTGGCAATGTCTGCTGGAATTTCTAGCCCACACTTTTTTTTGGTCAGCTGGGTGTCTGACACGTGCGAAAACCCATTACCATGCTTCAGAGTATCCAAACCAAACTGAGAATTCCAGGCATCCCACCTACATACAATGACTTAAAACAAGAGTGATTGTTGATGATATTCATCGGGTTTGCCACTGTCACAAAAGTTTTGCTTAAAGTGAATTACTAAAAAAAAAATGGTCTTTACCTCAATGTTCCAATGGTGTTGTTCCAATGTTTGACGGCACTGGTCCATTGACTCGATACCAGTTAGGTCCTAAAGCAGGCAACGGATCAGAGGGAGTTGCATTTATTTCCAACAAACTAAATTCTCTTTCTTTACGACTTAAAATAAACAGCAAGTTAGAATATACCAGGTTTCTACAAGTTTACGCCAGATTTGCCACTCGCATTTGACATCTGGAAAAGGTCATAATAATAATCCTTGCATTTGATATAGTGCCTTATCACGACTTTCAGACGTCTCAAGGCGGCTTCACAGAATATATTGTAAAGTGCTTTGACTGTATAGTTTGTGGGCGAAACGCGGCGGACAATCGAACACAGCAGCGACCCACAAACACCAACAATGTCCTCGTTTCAAGATCCGAAAGAATGAACGATTAACAGTTTCCCAAACAATTAATAAGTACCTTTACCAGCATCAGAAAAAAAACGTTTCCTACATACAGCAGCACACACACACAGCACACAGAAACCGTGATTCCACACGTGGAAGAGCAGGAGGTAACCAGGAGGTGGATTTCCAAGATCTCTTTTCCGGGGCGGGGGGTAATCATTCTTTTTTTTAAAAAAAACACTAATAATAATAATAATAATATGGTCACTTCAACGCACGACTGTCTGCGGGGACACGGCTGCGGGCGGATCGGCTGCCGCGTTCCGCCCGCGAAACGCACCCGCGCGCGCGCGCACACGCACGCGCGGTCAACCCGCGTTACAGCGAGTAATCCCGCGAAGAGCTTGGGAGACGCGTCTCGAAGACGCGATCGAGGCGCTGCGTCAAATGCCGCCGGGGAGGGGGAGAGGAGAGGGGAGAGGAGGAGGGGGGGGTTTAACTGTCATTTTATTCTAACCGGTTTGTGAAGCAGGACGTAACCGGGAAGGAGGCAGCGGGGAGTGGGGGGGGGGAGGGGGAGTGGGGTGGGGGGGGGGGGGGAGAGGGGGTTAAAGTCAGGAGTTTGGCATAAGATCACCAGGTGTAAAAACAAGAGGTGACCAGGTGTAAACCAGGCGTGAGGTGCGGGGGGTGTGTGGGGTGGGGGGTGTGGGTGAGGCGGGTGGGGGGGTGTGAGGCAGGGGGTGTGTGTGGGTGAGGCGGGTGGGGGGGTGTGAGGCGGGTGGGGGGGTGAGGCGATGGGGTGTGGGTGTGAGGTGGGGGGTGGGGTGTGTGTGGGGGGTGTGGGGGGGTGGGGGTATGGGGGGGGTGAGGGGTATGGGGTGGGGGTGAGGCGGGGGGTGTGTGTGGGGGGTGGGGTGAGGCGGGGGGGGTGTGGGTGGGGGTGGGAGGTGGGGGTGGTGGGGGTGAGGTTGTGTGTGGGTGTGAGGCGGGGGGGGGGGGGGGGTGAGGGGTGTGTTGGGTGAGGCGGGGTTGTGTGGGGGGGGTTATGGGTGGGGGTGAGGGGGGGTTGTGGGGGTGGGGGTGTGTGGGGGGTATGGGGTGGGGTGTGGGGGGGTGGGGGGGGGGGTGTGGGGGGGGGGGGGGGGTGTGGGGGGGGTGGGGGGGGGGGGGGGTGTGTGGGGGGTGGGGGGTGGGGGGGGAGGGGTGGGGGTGAGGCGGGGGGGGGGGGGGGTATGGGGGGGGGGGTGAGGGGTGTGTGTGGGTGAGGCGGGGGTTGTGTGGGGGGGGTATGGGGTGGGGGTGAGGCGGGGGTTGTGTGGGGGGGGTATGGGGGGGGGGTGAGGCGGGGTTGTGTGGGGGGGGTATGGGGGGGGGTGAGGCGGGGGGTGACTGACTGGACTGGCGGTACCTGGAACTGGAGGAGCTTCTCTGTCTGCTCTTGGCTCAGATCCTCCTCCCGCTGCCCAGGCGCCGCCATCTTGCCCGCTGGCTTCGGGCCTGTGCGGAAGTCACCGCCTCGGCCTCTCCCTCCCTCCCCTCCCCTTCCCTCCCCACCTCCCCGCCCTGCGCTGCCCGTCACTCCCCGCGACCCGCCTCCACAACCCCACCTCTTCCTTTCCTCCTCCTCCTCCTCTCCGCCTCTCCCCCTCGGTCGCACCCGCTAATCCAGACGCAGGCTTCAGGCCTGAGTCAGGCCTCCCGCGCTCCTGCCGCTCGCCTCAGGCCACGGGAACCTCCGCCTCCTCCTCGGCTCCAGCCACAGACCGCCTCCCCCCCCCCCCCCCCAACAACAACAACAACACTCCACTCACTACCTCAACTCTCACATCAACCAACTGTCCTAATAACCCCCTCAGCAAACTCTCCCCAACCTTCACCTCAACTGCCCCCCACCCCACCCTCACCCCCACCCTCTCACTCACTCACTCACTCACTGTCTCCCCCACAAAACACACAGTCGATTCCCTTCTCCGTATAACCCGTGAGAAGCGCTTTGAGGCGTCTCGAAGCAAAAACATAAGGCGCCGCAGCAAATGTAAGGATTATTATTAACTATCGTAACCCACACCCGCTCCCCCACCCCCCAACTCAACTAACTATCCTAATCCTGACTGACCTCAGCTCACTCTCCTAACCTTAACCGAACCACCCTGACTCAACTAAACTTGATCTCGCTCAACCAAAAGTAACTGGACCAAATGAAGCAGGAGCACATCTGTCAGCAGATGTGCGGGAGGGGAGAGAGAGGGAGGGAGGGAGGGGTAGGTGAGGGGTACATGCGGTTTGCAGTCAGGACACAACAACATAGTCCGAACAAGATTCATGCCCAGGTTTCATTGTGTTGGAACCGGGACAGTGAGTGAATGTGTGGGGAAACAAAAGGGCAAAATTACTGCAGATGCTGAAAATCTGAAATAAAAACAAGTCGCTGGGAACATAAAGCAGGTCAGGCAGCATCTATGGAGAGAGGAAAATGAGTTAATGTTTCTGGTTGATAACCTTTCGGCACATGCATGAATGAATGCAAGTGGGTTATTGGCTTGTGAGGACGTTACAATGGAACCTAATCCTATCCTTGACAGACAGACTTGACAGGAGAGGAAATGTATTGTATTCAGCAATGCTAACTGATACCCCACACCCCCCTCTAGTCAGGCTACTGAGACCAACACTGTAATGCACCCCTGCTGACAGCAGTGATATCAATGGAAAGCTATGTGGTTTTAGCTGGTCAGACTCCAGCAGTTATCCCAAAACACACTGGGGTCCCAAGCCTTGGCTCTTGCCAACCTCATTCAGTTATGAAGAGAGCCAGGGTATATCTTGAAACCAAAATGCATGTTGTGCTATCACTGGATGAGTGGTTTCCCAAATGTCCTGAGCAGCTGCTATTATGTAGTTTGGTTCATGCTATTCAGGTCTGAAGGTATGAGATGTGGTTATGAGATATAATATGTAATGTGTATGTACTGTACATAATAATCCTTGCAGCTTTCACGCCATCAAGATGTGATGGGTTTTCGCTTGGGTCAGACACCCGGTTGACCAGAAAAAAGTCTTCAAGATATCTCAAAGTGCTTCACAGGATACACCAGTGTGACTGTATATATTGTGGATGAAGGCTATAAAGTATATATACATATATAATAATCCTTATAATACTTACATTTGATATAGCATAAAGACGTCTCAAACGTTTCACAGGATTTACTGTAATGTGGATTGATTGTGTATTTTGTGGGCAAAACGCTTGTGTGTATTTATATATATATAGTGTGTGAAGCAAAGATCTTGTGTGGAGTCCTGTAGCTTAGTGGTTAGAGCACTCGCCTCGCAAGTGAGAGCACCTGGGTTCGATTCCAAGGCAGGGCGAAAAGTTGGATATGTTTCCTTACTCCACACACATCTGTTTACCTTGCAGTAAGTACGAACCCGGTTGTTAAGTCGATTGACCGATCGCTTTTCCGGGGGTAATAATCCCTTAAAAAAAATAACTTGGTCACTCAATCCACGACTGTTTGTGGGCACGATCGGCTGCCTGGCTTTGTCCAAAAGATACAGTCAATTCACATGACAGTATATTCTGTGAAGCGCTTTGAGACGCCTCGAAGACTTTATAAGGCGCTATATCAAATGCAAGGATTTGGATTGGTATCAAGACACAATATATTATAGAGAGACGTGTAATATATGCCTAGATGTGTGCATATATATATTTATACACAGCGTGACAGGCCTGGCGTTGTTGCCAGTTGCCTGGGCAATGCCTGAGAAGCAGTGTGCTGGTGGGGCAGGCAAGGCAAGGCATTCCCCACGTGACGCTGGAGGCACCATGTGATACAGAGCTGTGTGGGTGGTGTGTGTGTGTGTGTGGGGGGGGGGGGGGGGGGACTCGCACCACGTGACAAGGGCAGGCTGGCCGTGTGTGGGGGGGGGACTCGCACCACGTGACAAGGGCAGGCTGGCCGTGTGTGGTGGGGGACTCGCACCACGTGACAAGGGCAGGCTGGCCGTGTGTGTGTGTGTGGGGGGACTCGCACCACGTGACAAGGGCAGGCTGGCCGTGTGTGGGGGGGGACTCGCACCACGTGACAAGGGCAGGCTGGCCGTGTGTGTGGGGGGACTCGCACCACGTGACAAGGGCAGGCTGGCCGTGTGTGGGGGGACTCGCACCACGTGACAAGGGCAGGCTGGCCGTGTGTGTGTGGGGGGGGACTCGCACCACGTGACAAGGGCAGGCTGGCCGTGTGTGTGTGTGTGGGGGGGGGGCCTCGCACCACGTGACAAGGGCAGGCTGGGTCTGTCCGGGGACTCGCACCACGTAACGCCGGGCCGTTAAAAGAGCTGACGTCGCGCGCGTCTTCCGGTGCTGGCGGGTGGCAGGAGCGCAACAAGATGGCGGACGACATTGGTTTCTTCTCCTCGGACAACGGCACGGCGGGCAGCGCGGAGGAGGACCCGGCCGCCGCCTTCCTGGCGCAGCAGGAGAGCGAGATCGCCGGCATCGAGAACGACGAGGGCTTCAGCATTCTGGACGGCGGCGAGGTGCCGGCCGCCGTGATACAGCACTCGGGCGGCGCTGAAGGTGGGGAGCGGGGCCTATGGGAAACCGGGACAGGCTCTTTCCTTTCACACTCACCCCACACACACACACCCCCACCCCCACCACCACCACCCCCCGGGACCACGTCTGACAGGCCTCCGCGCCCTCGACACCCCTCCCCTCTCCTCCCCTCCCCGGCGCTGTCAGCCCCAGTCACTGGCCTGACCCGCTCACCCTAATGCTACTGCTATTAATAATACAAATGCAAGTATTATAATAATAATAATTGTAATAATAATCCCTGCATTAATGATACAGCGCCTCATCACGTCGTCGAGACGCATCAAAGCGCTTCGCAGGCTTTTACCGTGTCGTGTAGTGACTGTTGAAGTGAATATGGCAGCAATGAAATAATAACAATCCTTACCTTTGAGAAAGAGCCTTATCAAGTCTTATTGAGACTTCTCGAAGTGATTCAGAGAATATGTACTGTAAGGTGGATTGATTGTCACTTGGGTGAAAATGTGGCAGCAGATTGCAATACCCTGTCTCCCCCTTTGCTCCCCTCCCCGCCTGCAGCACTTTGTCCCCGGTCTCACCCTGGGGCTGTGCCTTCTGGTTGTGACCTGAGCAGCCGGGCCACTTAGCCCTGTTTCTGGCTAGACAACTCCATCTATAAAGGGTTTCGCTCGTCTCTATCCCTTCCCTCCCCTGGCTGATAGTGGAGAGAAGTTTCATTGTGCTTCTGTCAGTGAAACTGTGTGAAATAATTCCTTTATCGGTGGTTTTTAATCTCTTGTTTTCAGTCTAATGTAAAGTCTTTTCTTCTCCACAGGAAATGGGAAATGTGTGTGTGTTCCTGTAGTTTGTGTAATGCCAGTTTATGGGTTAACTATTTGCTCTCTTATCAGCCGTGTCGAGTATGCGGAAATGCGCGCTGAGTGAGGCAATGCTCAATTTTCAGCAGTTTCCTACCTGTGACATTGCTGAATCACAGTTCTCAAGAACGCAGAGTCTGCACCTTACTGCCTGCAGTGAGTGACCTTATTCAGTCTGAGGCTCTTCTGTCCTGGAAAATCTGCAGTAGTCAAGAGCTTTCTGTATAGTAAATGAGATGCTGTGCTGAATTGCTGCAAAGTAATTTAGTGAGGAGCCCATTCGAAGAATTGCTGCTTGAAATTGTAGAGTAGAACTCTTGCTTCACTAGGTAATGCCAATTGGCAGGGGGCTACTGAATCGTGCATTCATCAGTGTCTAGTATTGATTGCAAAACTGATTGATCAAAATGTGGTCAAATGCTGAGGGCATTCTTTCTCTGATTTCATGTGGACTGAAAGCTGTAATTATTTCTGAAATTTCATAAAGTGTGGGACTTCTATTTTGAATTATCCCTTGAATCGGGGATACTAATGTGTTCTAAGATGATCCTAGGCATATTAAATGATTCTATTGCTATTTTTGTGTATACTGTTAGCCATGATTTGCAGGGCTTAGTATACCGATTTCCTTATGCTTGCAGATGTATATGGATATTTAGTATCAATTTCCCATGTGGTTGTTATATTTTGCAATAACCTATTTCAGCTTTTTAAAGTTGTGCTATGACTTTTTTTGCAATTCAACACTAATGATCCAAACCTGCTTCCCAAGTGGATTTTATTTGGAACCTGTTTCTGATTGCCAAGGTTTGTGCTCAAGTATTTCATGAACGCTGTTAGCATTCTAGTGCCTAGTCAAGTGCTATTTTTGATACGAGCCTCTGTTAGATATTGCACTAGGGCATCACAGCTGAGTTCAATTTGTCTTTTTTGATGTCCACCAGGAATAATTGGATACTTAATCAGAGGTGGAAGTCGTAGCTCTCTCTTTTTCAGGATTGTGCTTGGAGCTCTTGCAAAGATCATGTAGAGAAACAGTTAATGTTCTTGAAATGACAAATTCTATTCTCTCTTAAGGAGGTTATGGTTAATCTATACAAAACATTGGTTAGGCCTCAGCTGGAGTACTGAGTCCAGTTCTGGGCACCTTACTTCAGGAAGGACATTAAGGCACTGGAAAGGGTGCAGAGGAGATTCACGAGAATGATACCAGGAATGGGGAGCCTTAGCTATGAGGACAGGCTGGAGAAGTTAGGACTTTTCCCATTAGAGTAGAGAAAGTTACGCGGGGACCTGATAGAGGTCTTCAAGATCATGAAAGGTTTCGACAGGCGAGATAAGGAAAAGCTGTTTCCGCTGGTAGGTGTGTCTGTGACCCGTGGTCACAGTCTTAAGATATCTACCAAAAGAAGCAGAGGGGAGGTTCGAAGAAATTTTTTCACTCAGCGAGTTGTCCAAATTTGGAATGATCTGCCTGAAAGGGCAGTGAAGTCCGATTCGATAACTGCTTTTAAGAGAGAACTGGATATCTGGGGAACGGGTTTGCAGGGCTATGGGGAGAAAGCTGGTGATTGGGGTTAGTGAAAGTGACTTGCTCTGTCAAAGAGCCGGCACAGACTTGATGGGCCGAATGGCCTCCTTCTGTGCTGTAACATTCTATGAATCTATGAATACATAAGACCATAATAAATAAGTTTTCTATCACTAACATTCTACTGGGTAGTAAAACCTTTAAATGAAGATCATGCAGTTTCTGAATGAGTTCTGCGGTCAGCTGCATTTTATCCAAACTAAAGATGAATTTACAGTACTATAAACCAGATTCATCTTGATTTAGCAAGTTACTTTTAACTGTGTTGTTCCTTCCTAATATGTTGGTCTGCCAATGGCAGACCTTTTCAAAGTGGATATACATTGTGTTTAGCCAGTGAATCCATACTACTGAATGGGTCATCACAGCTAAAACCAATCTTGTTCATAAATACTTCCTCCTAATTATAGGCCAGTACCAGCACTGAGACTTTAGCTAAATCTAACCTTGGCCATAAACACATAAGAATCCAGGAAAATAGCCTGTGTTTATAAGAAATCTAGGAAGGATGGTGTTGCACTCATTCACAGTTGAGTTAAGATTGAATATTGAAATGAGAACTTTGTTCCATATAGGATCATGTGGTTCAATTGTATCAGCCTCCTGCAATTCTTCATAAATATTTAGTCTTTGGTAAAATGCAACACAGATAGCTAGTCTGTCACAGCGAAATAGAACACTTTAGTCACAATAAACCAAGCGAAATACATTGCATAAATTCTTTCAAAGGTTTTTCAGATTTAACCATAGCACAATGGTAATACTGACCACTTAATTAATAGTTACATCCATAGTAAGACTGGAACAGTGTCAGGAATACCACTCAAGCAACCACTGGAGCAGAGTGGCCAGGTAACTATTCTGTTCCCGATAGGTTTGCCAATGGAACCAAACTCCTATAACTTGCTGTCTGCAGTAAAGGCAGCAAAACCAGACCAGGATTAAATATAAATGCTGCAACTTTAGTTCTTTATTTTATGCATCACTGCATCAGGTTACTCTTTGCCTGACTGAATGAAATGTAGCCCATTTGTCTTCAATTATTAACTAGGTCCTGACAGTGCTAGTTACATAAATCCACCTTTTCAGTGGGAAGGATAGATTTCACTCCAGCCGCTGATACAAGTCAGTTGCTAGTTTATGGTAACTATTAAATGCACACTTTTTTGACCTTTGAAGTTTAATTTCTTATTTGCAGTTACACTGTGGCTGAATATTAGTTGCTGGCTTGTTAGTTAATGTCAAAATTAATACTTCCATTCCTGGGATGTTGCAAAATGTCACTTAAATAATACAGTTGCTCTTTGATTTTTTTCCAATAATAGATGTAGAATACAAATTACAGTAACTTGGCAAAATTCTCAAACTGAAAGATGCAAAACATGGTTCTCGAATAATATATACAGGTATACCCTGAGCTGTAAGGAATGTGTGAATATAAGAGTTCTAATTGAGAATGAGCAAGATGGCTTATGAAACTGCTACCCTTGGTGACAGCTTATTGGACTTTGCATTCTTTCTGTTCTGAGGCAGCAGGGTTAAAGGCACAATCTTCAGGAAAGGTCTTTTGAGAGAGGAGCTATGTATAAATCTTGCCGATGTTGTGCACAACTGGTTTCTAAATTACTTCTCATTGGGTGGTTGAAACCTTGTGGACAACAATGTCTTGAGGATGGTATTCTTTAAGTTTTATTGAATGCTGTCTGCAAACCTTTTCATCTCACTGATCCAGCAGCTGGCAATAAATCTAATCGCTGTTACTGATGGCATTGATTCAAATACATTTTCTATTTCAGTCTATGATTGAGCTAGGTCGTGGTGCTGCTTCATAATAGGTAGTTGTTATATACATTGCTGCAGTGGTACCTTCCTTGCTAATGAGCAAAGTGCATAATTAGGTTTGCTTCCTGTCTGCTTCCTTCCTCTGGAATCTAGATGTTAGGTGTTCTTTTCTTAAGTGCTTATCCTAAGTGGCCATTTGTGTATAAGTTGAGCCTTGAATGTTGGGGGAGGGAACAATCATAGTCAGTCCTCTGCTTACACAACCACACCCATCTCATGGGTGGCTGGACAGAGTTCAGTACTAGTAATCTTTCCTCTTGCTGAAGCACCAAGGCCAAATTAGTTGCTGCTAGTGAGATTCCCAATTCTGTGCTGCATTTGCCTACCTTTTATGTTGATTGGAGTTTACGTTTTAGTACACATGTCTTGTTTGTAGACTTGAGCTGAGATTATGGGTTGGTTCATCTCCCGATCACTGGGGATATACAGTAAATTCCTATATGATAACATTTTATAAATTTTCTTTCAGATGGCTTTGAAGACGAGTTGGCAGCAGTCAATGGAGAGGTGTACCAGGTCAGCAGGAAAAAAACACCCAAATGCAGTAACTGTGTGACAGGTGTCTTATTTTATAACTGGAGTATCACTCAAAAGATTCACTCAATGGGAAAATCTTTAACTAAAACCATCTCTAATTATGGCTACACAATATCCTCAGTTAAATGTTAACGGTCCGATTCTAGACAATATGGCATAAAATGCCCGTCATAAAACAGTCATATAGACCAGTAGGATTTTAATCTATGCTGAGTGTGCTGATTTCACCCAAAGACAATTCTGAGTTTCTTAAATCACCTGGATTAAGCAGGTGAGAAAAGAATTACAGGGTTCCCTGCTCAAGATCATTAACCAGTGAACTCTTGGGAAATGTGAAGCCAGGATCTGGCCTGACATTCGGAAGAACTGCTATTTAAGAGATGGTCAGCAGTTATCAAACAAACCAGTTGCTACGAGGAGGAGGACAAAAAATTGGAGGGCTTACGTTTGATTTTAAAAACAACTTGGAAGGATTTTTTATTTTACCATGACTAACTTTACCTGGTATCCAAACTTTTTTCAGCCAGTGAGAGTTTGTTTTAACTTGCATTACAGGGTAACAATCACTGTATATGCTTCCCTTGATTAGGAATTCTGTAACTTGTATGGGAATAGAAGCTGTTCGGTAATCAGATGGTGGAGTTGGGATGTGACAACAGTGAATGCAGAGTGTGATGTCACAAGCTGTTTGGGTGTTGTTGTGCGCATAGTTTCAGGTGAAAATTGCTGATGTCACAAAGCCGAGACTATTGGATTTTGTTGAACTTCAGCTCAGAGAAAGAAACTTTTAAGAATGAGAAGAATAAAATCACTGATCACACACATCAAAATGTTCTGGGTATTACTAACAGTACACTTGATTTTAAAATGGCACAAAAGTTACTATGTATTGTATTAACGTGTCTCTCTGTTCTCAAGCTTTTTATGGGGTCTTGATAGTTGCAGTCCCATCAAAAGGCATTATGCTTGTGTAATGATTTATGTTAATGCAGGAGTCAAACGGTCCCAATGATAGTTATGCAGCAATAGCTCGAGCCGACCGTTTGAGCCAAGAACCTGATAGCATCCGGAAGTGGCGTGAGGAGCAGATAGCCCGTCTAGAAGAGCTTGGTAAGGAAGGTTCAGCTGTTAACCCTGGCCAATAGCATATCATGGTGATGTATCCTGACTCGTCTGCCTTTGTAACTACTATGTTTCTACTATTGATCCAAATGGTAAAAAAAATTCTGCACCTCCATAATATGGCTTCAGTTATAACTTTTCCATTGTGTGTATGTATATATATATATACTCTATAGAGAGAGGTGACCTACAAGATCCAAGTGACAACTTTACATTAATATTGGAAATGTCACTCATTCCAGATTGTATTTAAACTCTCAGCTCACTGAAAGCTGAGGATAAGTAATGCTTCCCATATTGAGAAAATGGGAGCATAACATCTCAACTTGAGAAACGGGTAAATTACTGTGGTACATAGAATTGGAAATAATAGAGGCTTTCTTGTACTTTTGGAAGTCAAGACAGAAAGTTCCTGTGAAATTTCATGTATTATCTTGTATTTTAGACACTGCTTCCCGAAAAGCAGAAATAGAATGGAAAGAGAAAGCTAAGAAGGAACTAGAAGAGTGGTATGTACGGCAGAATGAACAGTTGGAGAAAACCAAGAAGAATAACAGGTATGTTTGAAGGCTTCAGTATTTTAAATACTTTTTTGGTGTTTACAAGAAGCTAACAATCGAAGGTCATACAGTTTAAAACTGAACTAAGAGCAGTTTTAGTTGCTTTTGAATATTTGCATTCAAGTACCATAGCACCGAGTTGAACTTTAGAGATTTTTCTCAGTCCAGATAAAATACTGCAGCTGGCTGTCGATGTTCGATTTGATTAGAATTTGGGATATTTGACTCAATGCTGTGAGGTTGTTGTTCTAGAATCTGATTATCCTCATTGGGGGGGGAGGTAAGTGGAGTCTCCTTGGAGCTGAACTGGCAAAGTGACATGCCAGTAATGAAATGTCAGAAATCGAGCCAGCCCTCTGTGGCAATCTTGGTAGTCTGGCTTCTGAGCCAGGCTGGTCTGCAGTATTTCAGGGCACTGTTGATGGCAGCATAGTCTGCCTGGCTCATCAGCGGCATCTGGAAGGACAGACCAGTCACTGGGGTCAGGGAGTCATCCCAATCAGCTCCTGTTAACCCTGCAAGCCAAAGCCCTAACAGGTAGGATGGTCCTAGCTGGACAAGCAGTGGGAACGTTGCCGGACAGCAATATCAATGGCAAGCTATATAGTTTTAGCTGGTTAGACTCCAGCAGTTACCCCAATGCACACTCTGGGGTCCCCAAGCCGAGACTCTTGCCATCCTGCATCTAATACTTCCCGGAATTAGGTAAGCAGGATGCGTCCCTCTGGGAAAAGAGTGCGCATTTCATTCCAACAATCTACCTGGGATTTCCATGTGTAGGTGGGATGCATGGAAATCTCAGTTTGGATAATCTTTAAGGGTGGTGATGGGTTTCCGCATGTGTCAGGCACCCGACTGACCTCCAAAGATTATTCTTGACTCGGTTTAAGAATTGTAATTAAAATGAGATTAGCGCTTTACAAATAACTGCATCTTTCCACAATTTTAGACTTGAATGGTTACTCCTAAAATATATATAAAATGGTGCGGTGGTCTGTTCTAGCATTTGAGAACCTTTATACTGAATAATTAATTGCCGAGTTCTGTTGCTTCATCTGCTTTGTGTGCTGGGAAAATAGTAAAGGGCAAAATTGTCAGTCAACGAAAGACATGATTCCTGAACTGTATCATTTAATATTTGCTTAACCTGTTTGAATAACCTTGACAAAGCTGATTACTGCCTGCTTGCTGGCCAATAGTTCAGCTGTGACTATTGTGACAGTCAGTTTAATGCACATCTTATTCTGCTTGGCTTTTATTCCCAAAGTTAACTCCCCAGGGAGATGGTGGAAGCAGAAAGTGTTGTTTTTCAAGAACAAATTAGATAGATTTCTGCTATAAAATATCGCTGGATGCAATATGTAGTTTGGGACACAACATGTCAAGTGACTGACAGTATGGTGCAAGGCGAGCTAGACAGACCTTGGGGTTCTTTCGCCGAGCAAATTGTTATGTTGTTATGTGGCAGTGGCCAAATAGGTTAGAATAGTAATTTTATTCAAGACCTAGGTTATACTGTGCACAACGATGGGATGAAAGTCTGATTAAACTGGTTCTAAGTTTGGCCTTCCTGGTGTTTCGGGAATTGAAACTGTGAGCAGCAGACAGCTGTCTGTTTGAAAGTTGTCTCTGATTTTCTGGTGGCTGGATCTTGCTTCACGTTTGCGGGAAGGTCCGTAGCAGTTGATCACCAGAAAAGCGTGTTGCTGGCTGAGGGCTTGGGGCCCACCCACAACCAGGGACAATGTTTCACACTGCTTTAGAGGCTGTTATTGCTGTCTCTGGGGTATTGGGAACCAATAGCTCGGTTATGAGGCCATTTGTTTAAAATCACAGCATTGTAGGTGGATGGAGTTGGTGCCAGCATCACCTGTAATGTACAAGTAATCTCAGTGTGGGGTTGGATTAGAGTCATGAATCTTTGAATCTGTTTAATGACTTTCTATTGTTGTGCAGCAAAATTCCTTAATGTACTCGGTAAACAAGGAATACTGGTGTTGCGAAGGGTCGGGTTTTCTGAACGTTCAGAAAAGAGAAATGCTGAAATGAGAAATGCTGTTTACAATAGATTAATGTACAGCAGTTGGAAAGATAATGAATGTTTTGCTGATGCTAGTATTTTAGGGAGGATTTGCTCAGATTGTGTTCACGTTGAGCCCTGCGGATGGACATATGTTTAGTGCTTTTACTTTTATGCAAATATAGCATTATTACCTTGCCTGCTTTGCATCACTTCCCTATGTTGGGAGTTTTTTTTTCTCTTTTAGGGACCAGGAAGAGTTGATCTGCAAACAATATTAGCTCCTTAGTGCACAAAGCTAATATACCTACACAAGTGTAACTTGCTTTATTCTCAAAATGGAAGCACTGTTAACCATTTGCATCTTTTATCTAGAAATCACTGGAGCTAACATTTTTAGATGTATAATATATTTGAGGAATATGTACTGTACTAGTAGAGTGAGTTAGTACTGTTAGAATGTTTTGAAGGCTGACTGACAGTCTTGTGTTATTCAGTGCTCTCCAGAAATGTTAACATAAGATTAGTAGTTTACCTGAAGTGTTATGCTTAACACATTTTCTATTTAATGCTATGCTAACATTCCAATGTATAATGACACAAGGAGGATGAAACACCTCCAAGTACAGTCCATCTTGTACCATCCGATATTGCAAATGTACCTCACAGACTAGTCAGTATTAGAACAAGTGAGAGTCTGGTGGATAATACTTACAAATACGGTTACTCGTTTCTCAAAGATGCCACTTTATTTGTACTCCGTCCTCACAGCATTATGAAAATATGTAGAATTGGAAGACTTTATAACCAATAAATGTTCAGAAATGGTTACTGATGAGTTTTGCCCTTCATAGAAATCTGATTGACAATAGCACCAGCTTTTTGTAAAGACATGTGCTAACATTTGCATGGTGTTTTAGATTGATTTCCTTTGCAGATCTCCCAACAGTTTGACATCACTAAATGCTTTTTTAGCTTATTCTGGGAAGTAAAATACTGCTGCATTTACTAAAGTCTTAATAATAACGTTATTAACACTGTCCTTCCTTTTTTTTATCCTTATCATGTCTCTATCCACCTGTTGCAACTTCTCTGCTGCTTTCCCGTTGGTCCACCGGTTGGTTTCCCTGTCTCTGGACTAACATGCATGTGCACTAGGATCGCTGATCAAGCTTTCTACAAACAATCCTGCGCTGATGTGATAGGCTACGTGTATGTTGGCACTTTTTCTTCACCGTTTTTCTACATTAGTGCTAAGTTTTCATCCTCTTACTGTTTGGTGTTCTTTATCTTTAGAATGAATAACTGATAATTGTGAATAGATTAGAGTGTATGTGGTGCTGTGCCTGAATTTTACATTCTTGTGTAGCGACTGATCAATATTTATAACCTTAACTATCGCCAGGCTCTTTGAAACTTAACACTTCAAATAGTATTGTTCAGTCAATAATTCTGTGAATTGCAACAATAGACCTGATTAATTTTATTAATTGGTTCTTTCATTTGCTTAACACACATTTTCTTGTACAGGCTTCCACTGAATTACATGGGGTTTGAGGAAATCCTGGTATGCATATATCCTAAATCAGGAAAGCCTCAACTATACGAATTTACAGCTAATATATATTGTGAAAGTTTCCCCCTTTAAATTGTTTACATTTGTCTGTGCTGCTAGCACACTCCTATAGGCCTTGAACTAACTACAAACTCAGCTACAGTTCTGCAAGTCCTGACCTTAACAGTGGCTTGGGAAGGGGTCATTGTGCCCAAGACTGAGCTGGGGTGGGATGGCTTGGATCTCTTTCCTCAATTTAGTATTTGCTAGAGGAGAGTGAACAATTTAGCTTGTTCAGTCAGTTGAGCAATGGCCATCCAAGAGCAAAGGGAGGGAGAAGCAAGTAGATTGAGTAATGTTTCCATTGATCCTTGGATTTCAGTTGAGGTAAACTTTATATCCTCGCTTCCACTATCATCAGTGCTGATGTTTTTTAGCCATTTTTAAATTATGTTTATTAATACTAAACCACTGGCTTCACTTAACACCACACTGGTGTTTGTTGGTGGAAAAGACTTAATACATTTCATGGCTCCATTCACTGTCAGTTTATGAGAAAAAGATGAAAGGAGCAGTTAAGGTCACAGAAATGTACTGTTTTGCACATCAAAAAATGGATAGTGGAAACAGATTCAATAACAACTTTCAAAAGGGAATTGGATAGGTACTTGACAGGGACAAATTTACAAGGATATGGGGAAAGAGTGGGGAATGGAACTGATTGGGTAGCTCTTCCAAAGAGCTAGCACAGGCACGATGGGCCGAATGGCCTTTTTCTGTGCTGTAATATCCTATGATTCTATACTTCAGTTGAAAGTAGCTGGAGTACTTCAGTCAGCATGTATCTGAAAATGTGAAAGAACACTATTAAAGTAATTTGTTTTGTAACACTAAAAGCCTTTTAGTATCTAAAAGCTAAATGAGTATTTGAATGAACATTACTCTTGAACACCTTAAAGCAATCGGAGAAGTTTACAGGTTAGATATTTGCTCTACTAAAAGATAAGCGTTAGTGTTTGTTCCAGTAATACTGCTGAAATTAATTGTGTGTGGATATTAGGACAATACAACTTTGTTTATTTACAGACCCTTCTGTTCCTTTCCACTTAGTCATTCCTCTTCCTTGTTTTTAATGTTTCAGTTTCAGCTTAACCTACATTAGTTTTGCTAGTTCTTGTCCAGATTGTTAAATGAACGCCTCAAGCAATGAACCTCGGAAAGTCTATTGTCTTTGACAATGTGGGAGAGGCAGCATTCATGGCATCATGAAGGGGCTTTAAATTGAATGAGGAGCAGGAAGAAGTTTTCTGTCCCCACAGTAGTTGTGCAGAACTTACAGTACTAAGAAATGCTGTCCTTTGAGGTAAAGGATCCAATTACATTACCAAATAACAGTAGCCAAACTGGAACATTGTGCATGGCAATAATGACCTTTATATTGAAGCAAACCGTGGACTTGTAGACTGACCAGCAACGCAGTGGTATAGAAAGAGGATTTGTTTGCTACAAACCCTTTTTCATGCATCTTGCACCCACCTCACTGATTTACCCGGGTCTTGAGCACCACCAGTCAGACTTTTAACCATTAAATGTGCAATTGCTGATGGCCTTGAGTGCATTGTCTATGACTGGCTCTTGCTAACTTATATAAAGCTAGTGGTGTGCCTTTTTTTTGAATGTAGGTTTGCTAAATTGAGGAGCCTTGCAGCAGCTGAACTTTCACTTCAATCTGTCAGGATGCAATATTTTTCTAATGATCTGAAGCTGAAGGTTGTATTGTGTGCATGCTGCTAACCTGCAAAGTTATTTTTTTTACATCCAATTCATCTGTCCACAGTTAAACATTTTTCTGTGAAACCAATGTGGTGTTTGACCTGTGACTTATTGTGCAACTTGCTTCTCATGTTTGCTTCCCATCTAGCAAAACTGTGGTGTGCTTGTTCCATTTTAAACATACTTTCCTCCATTTTAAACAGTTTGCATGTTGCTGTTTGGAAAAGCAGTGCAGTGGGAAAGTTGTACCAACATATTGACTTGATGTGTCCTGTATTTTGGGGGGAATTATTTATACAAACATTTAACAACTACTTCAGTTAAAATATAGCAACCCCCCAAAAAAAAAATTTTGCAAATGTTTGTGCCAGTCTCGTGCACTATGAACACAACTTCCCTGCTAGCATTCATCAGCCTTACATAAACAGCATGATTATCACTGCAAGATCAATGTGAAGCTTTGACATTGATGCCTATTTCCTACTTGGAAATTTAACTTCAAACATTCCGAAAGCTCTTTGGGTTAAGATGGAGGGGTGAGATGCCAAACTTAAATATTCTGTGACCTGTGTTGAAGTGACTCCCTCATAGCTTAGTACTGTAAGTAAATGTACCACTTGGGTGACATCTAGCATTAGAGACCCAAAATATTCCACAACTGGTCTACTCTTGCTTCTCAGAAGTATAGGGCCTTCATAATTGGCTTCTGTCTTATGGGAACAAGGGCAACATTAGCCAGTGCTCCTGCTCCTAATTATTGGCAATCACGGTGGTGGGGGGAGAGTAAATGGTGGACAACAGAATAGTTTGGATGTTTACTGACCTGCGGATGTAACACCTGTGGTCTCTCCTGATATCTGGTTTCTCCTTTTAGGGCCGCTGAAGAAGCCTTTGTGGAGGACCGTGATGAAGACACTCCTGGCACAGAGTGGGAACGAGTAGCGCGCCTTTGTGACTTCAACCCCAAAACCAGCAAGCAGTCTAAGGATGTATCGCGTATGCGCTCTGTACTGATATCACTTAAGCAATCGCCGCTCGTCCGCTAGACAACTTTGTAACACTATTGAGGAGTGTGGGCTTTGTCTTAATGGCTCTTATTTGCATCCCACAAAGTCTGATGGCCATTAGAATAGAAAGATGAGTGTTAGTCATTCCTGTTTGGACCAAACTGGTGTAAATTAAAATCTGATGAGTGTTCAGTGATTATATTTTTCAATTGTTCACATGTGGTTTGTTGGCAATTCCTTGGGTTATGGGCAGGTCAGTCAAAATGGTCACCCTTGTACACTCCTGAATCTTGTTAATGTTAACTTTCTGAATTATTGATAATCCCCACCTCTCCTTTGAGCTATATCACATGACTATGTATTTATGCATGAATTATGAGTGCAATCTGTTAGCCCTTGTTTTCAAAATCATGACTACACTGGTACACTGCATTAAAAGTTCAATCTAATACTCGTGTGTTCATTCAGAAAAAAAACTGGATTGTATTACACTTGCCCTATCTGGGATTTATTCTCCTTGGGGATTCATAGCTTTCACTTGGGAAGATATTAAAATTGTGCTTGTGAATTCTGTACATCGATAGCAACGCAACTCTTTATGACAGATGAAGGGAAATACTTTGAAAGTCTTGCAATGATGTACATAAACTAGTGTTTGTAATGGTGGAAGATCTAATCGTAGGGAGCTTGACCTACCTGTGAATTAATTTACAATTTTTTTTGCATCCATTCTTTTAGCTGTCTGAAAATATACCATGACTAATAATTGCTTTACCAGTCACAGGACATCAGAACATGATCCATGAGCTCAATTTGGATGACACTAAAGTTCAAGAGTGAAGTTTTTTTTAAAAAAAAAGAAAATCTGATTGCTTTTTCAAATACCTTCCCTTGACACAAAAAAAATCTAATTTGATCTTGAACACACTCTCTCTTGTCCCTGTTTCAGGTGTATGGGTGAAGTTAAACCCAAGCTTCAAAACCAATTGAAATGCAAAATCTGGGTGCAGTGAGGAAATGATGTGTTAACTGTTTCTACATCCATTAAGATCTGTTAAAGTTGACCAGGGGGATTAAGAGGACCTCCATTTAAAAGGTGCTGCAATTTGTTGGTCAAACAGGAATCAGGGATTTAAAAAAACACAAGTTGAACTAGATATCCTATCTGACATGCAAACAGTACCGTTCCTTGAACTTGGATGCTGTGTAGCCATAATTATCCTTTCCTCCTGAATTTCTGCAGCCTGATTTTAATCAGGTTTTAATTTAATGTGATTGGCATTGGTTCTCTAGGCAGGTAATTCATCTGTTTACCATTTAACATTTGCAGTTAATAAAAACCAACCTGAAGGATGTGATCTGGCTTCCAATGAACTTTATTTACGTGTAAGTGATTATTGACAGGGCTACTTGCTCAGCGAACGTTACACCTACACTATGTATATTGTATCATGTCTCCATTACCCAGCCAACAGGCACAAAATATGGTTTCTCACCCATCACCCTGCCTTTAGTGCTGGCTTGCCACCTTATGTGTTTTTATATAGTCATTTGTGTGATAAACATTTTGTTTTAAAATACATTAAGGAATAATACAGTAACTTGGATTTATATAGCACCCTCCATGCCGCATGGCGTATCCCAGCGCTTTACAGTAACGGATCCCAGGACTGAGCCGGGGGGAGGGGAGGGGTGGGAAGGTGACCAAAGGCGTGGTCGAAACGAAAGATCTTCAGCAGAGACCTGAAAATGGGAAGGGAGGGAGCGAGACAAAGGGAGTGAGGAAGGCAGTTCCAGAGCCTCGGGGTATAGTGGCTGAAGGCATAGCTGCCGAGGGTGGAGCGGAGGACTCGGGGGATGAGGAAGAGGCCAGACCCGGAGGAACGAAGGCAACGGGTACTGTTTTGAGGAGGTCAGAGGTTGGAGAGTGCAGAGGAGTGGAAGGACTTGAATACGTGGGTGAGGATCTTAAAATCGAGATATCTGCATTTGATAATGCCACATCACATTGTCGTTATTATATATGACTAATGAGATGGTGACATCCCCCTGACATGAAAGGTGCTATAAAAATTGTAAGGTGGTTGTGGTGCCACTAAACCCCACCCACTCTGGATTTTACTGAGTCGGTACTGGTTAGACATGAAATGCTGTCCTCTAGTGGTTATTGAGCGAAAAATCAAATAGTGCAGTTCCATTGAGGAACTTCACCTGAACCGGTGTCTCGAACTAAACACAATAACAAGGTTGGGTGGTGCACAAATATCAAGTTCCATCCCAACCAATTTCCTACCCACAAAATCTCTAAAGAAATCCTTATATTTAAACTAGTCTAATGATTTCCTTCAATATTTTTGTATTTTATTAGTGATTTTGTCATGTCACTTCTGGCCATGGACATCACATGAAGTAGAGGAGAACTTTCTGTTTAGGGGAGAGAAAGGACAAGTTCACTGATGCTAGAAGTGCATAAAATCCACAAAACAGTATCTTTAGTTTCTAAGTGGTGCAGAAATGAATGCATTAAACTCAGCATATAATGAATTTTAATATAACCTTTCAAGATCACCAATTTAAACCCAGCTTTTACTGGAGCAGATGCACATTTTGGTAACAATGACAAAAATACACTCACAAGAAAATGAAGTTAAGCAAACACTTATACATCATTTATTACACTGCAGAGATGGCAGCATCTTAAAGCATTCGCTAGGTAGGTAGAGAAGGCAAACAACTGCTATCTTACAAACTTACTGGCATTGTCCAACCTTTTAATGGTTCTGGATTAAAAATTTTGTTCCTCAAATAGAAGCCATTTGATTGTTGGGTATTTCAGATTTAGTGCATTTATAAGAAATTTCCTAGGTATATTGTCTTGCATTTGCAACAACTTGATATTCCTACATCATTTCCCAAAAGATGGGCAGAAATTGCATTTATTTGGGCTTTAAAGTTGTGGCTACCACACCCACAACAATAGCAACAATGGTGAAACCTTGGGCAAAGATACGTGCTCGCATGGAAAGTTGTGAATGTCGAGTCTTGCCATGGTTAAAAGCGATTAGACCGTAGGTCAGAGCACCAGCTGTGCCTAACATTCCTGAAATACAGAAAATATGCGTTAGCCAAATAATTCAGAGTCTTCCCCCCTCGCAATTACAGCAGCACTTTTCCAGATCACAATGTTTCAGCAGATTCAGAGTGCCATTTGTTGAGTGAAGCATTACATTATTGGAAAAGAGAAGGGAGTTTACCCTTGAAGTGCCTCAAGACATTTTGACAAAATTAATACAAATGATAAAAACCTTTGCATTTGGCATTGCACCGATAATGTCAAAACGTGTTGAAGGGCATCAGTTCCTGGAAAGTGCAGTGACTGTGTTTTGTGCACAGCAGTCAACAGCAACAAATATTTTACCCACAAAATATACAGTCAATTCGCTTTACCGTATATTCTGTGAAGCGCTCTAAAGTGTCTCGAAGACGCGATAAGGCACTGTATGAACTGCAAGGATTGTTGCAGTGGAGTCCTGTAGCTCAGTGGTTAGAGCACTCGCTTTGCAAGTGAGAGACCTGAGTTCAATTCCAGGCAGAGGGCGAAACCTTGGGCAAGTTTCCTTACTCCACACAGAGCCTAATAATAATCCCTCCAAAACCAAAAACAATAATAAATTGGTCATTTTCAATCCACGACTGTGTGTGGGACATTACTGTGCGCAATTGGCTGCCGCGTTCGCCCACAAACATACAGTCAACTCACTTTACAGTGTGTTCTGTGAAGCGCTTTGGGACGTCCTCCCGACGTGAAAAGCGCTATATCAAATGCAAAGGATTATTATTATTATTATTATTATTATTATTATTATTATCTGGAGGCGAGAGGCCAAGGTCATCATCAACCACAGCGCCGTCTCTGGCCTCCCGGGGTCAGTCAGTCACTCACCCAGGGGCACGAACGGGTTCTCGCTGGTCTTCCTGATGAACTTGTCCCTGAAGCTCTCCTCCCGGGGCCTGGGGGCGGGATGGAAGCCCTCGATGACGGGCGGTTTGCTGAGCGACACCTCCTCCCGGACGGGCGCCGCCATCTTGTTTCCCGTCAGTCAGTCAGTCAGTCAGTCAAGTGGGTCGGTGCGCAGGCGCCGAGCGGGGACCAATCACAGGCCGCGACGGTCACAGTGTCAGAGGTCAAAGGGCGGCCCCGAGGGCTCCGCACGTTTCATCCTCGGCCTCGGTCTCTCCCTCTCTCTCTCTCCCCGGGGTTAGGCCTCTCTCCCCCAGGCTCCTCTCTCCCTCTCTCCCCGGGGTTAGGCCTCTCTCCCCCAGGCTCCTCTCTCCCTCTCTCCCCGGGGTTAGGCCTCTCTCCCCCAGGCTCCTCTCTCTCTCTCTCCCCGGGGTTAGGCCTCTCCCCCAGGCTCCTCTCTCCCCGGGGTTAGGCCTCTCTCCCCCAGGCTCCTCTCTCCCTCTCTCCCCGGGGTTAGGCCTCTCTCCCCCCATCTCTCTCCGCCGCCGCCCCGGTAAAGATGCCCAAAGCCAAGGGTAAGAACAGGAGGAAGAAGTTCAACTACGAGGCCGACCGAAAAAAGATCAGGCGACGGATGAACAAGAAAGCGGCCCCGCGGATCGAATGGTGAGTCTGTCCTCCTCCTCCTCCTCCTCCTCCTCCTCCTGCTGCTGCTGCTGCTGCTGCTGCGTTTAATATAATAATATTAATCATAATCATAATCCGTGCATTTGCCTCAGGGCCTCATTCGCGCCTTCGAGACGTCTCAAAGCGCTCCACGGAATATACTGCGAGAGGTGAACCGACTGTCACGGTTTGTGGGAGGAATGCGGCAGCCAATTGCCCGCCCAGCGGCCCGCGCCCCCCACCGACAGCCTGACCGAGTTATCGTTGCTGTCTTTTATTTGCCACCAACGCCTCACCGCGCCGCTGAGACACCTCAAAGCGCTTCACGGATTTTTTTGGGGGCCAGCCGGGTGCCTTGACACCTGCGGAAACCCGTCGCCGCGCTTAAAGAGCATCCAAACCCAACTGGGAATGAATTCCACGCTTGCCCACCCACACCCGGAAACGCCCAGAGATAGACTGTTGGAATGGAATGGAACGGGCTCTCTCTCCCTGAAGAGAGGCATCCTGCTGACGTAATTCCGGAGAGTATTAGTCGCAGGTTGGCAAGAGGACCCCAGAGTGTGCGTTGGGGGTAACTGCTGGAGTCCAACCCGCTAAAACTACATACATTGCGCTTCACAGGATATGCTGTAAAGTGCAGTGGCTATATGTTTTGTGGGCGAAAAGCGGCAGCCAATTGTGCACAACGTCTCACAAACCGTTGTGGATTGAGTGACCAAATTATTATCATTATTCCTACAGAATTATTACTATTCTGACTGACCCTAAATCATTACTGTTCCCACTCAACTGACTTTAATTTGATAATTATGTCTGTTAGCGATCAGATAAGGAGAGCGTGGGACCAGAATAAATCGGCTGCTCAGAATTTAGCTCAAATGGGTTTGGCAATGGACCCGAACAAGACGCTTCCCATCAAGAAAGGCAAGGTATGTACTGTTAGCTGGTTGTGTTATTGATAAGTGATTGAAATCTCTGCAGCACGGATGATCTAAAGTTATCTGTATCACAGTCTAGTATTGCTGATTGACCATTCGTTATTTCCATCTTTTTTTTTGGTGGGGGGGGAAATCTGAAAGAAAGACTTATCAAAAAGTGTTGCAATTATTGTTGTCCTTGTGTGTACTGTGTACAACTAGGGCCAACTCAAGAAGAATGAGTCATTCTTATATTGATCAAAATTTCAACCTCTCTTACAGATACAGGGAATGGCCTCTGCCAGAGAGGAAACCATTATATTAAAGCCTTACGTCATTAACGGTTTGTATGCAGTTCTCAGGGAAAGTTTGCAATGTCTTTCACTTTTGGTTGTACAACTTCTTTAAAAAGCCATCACTGGTCCCTCACGCATTCCAAGTGTCTATGACCCCGCCCGGCCCATCCCACCATCGGCGGTCAAGCCTTCAGCATCTCTGCCCCCACCCTACCCTTTGGAACTCCATTCCATAGTCCCTTTGCCTTCCGCTCTCCCTTACCTCCTTCAAGGCACATCTAAATACCCTCCTATTCGACCACATCTTTTATCGTCCTACCCCTGCCCTCCACCCCTCCAAATCACAACCATTTCTTCGGATCCAAATCCGACTGTCCAGCCTCTTGGGACGTCCACCCAACGTGAAAGGTGTTAAAACAAATGTAATTTGTTGTTCTGGAAGAAATCTCCTGTTAACTTTGTAGAGTGAAATTGAAGTTGTTGTCCACATAACACAATGACATTTACCATTACTCTGCAGAGCTAGAAGCAGAGGCTAACCTCCCAGAAGAGAAAAAGACTTCACTCTCCAGAGATCTGATTGATTATGTTGAGCACATGATCACAAACTACAAGGACAATTACAAGGTATGAAATATTTAGAAAACAATAGCTTTTATGTGAATTTTCAGTAGAGATAGTCCTTTGACAAGATACAATTCAAACAGAATCTTAAAGGGTTGTTTAGCTATTGTGAATTTGACCCTGGGAACCTTTGAGCCACATCATGTTGTACATTTACCCGTTCATTCAATTTTCACAAGCTTAGGCCTGTAAGATTGTCATTTATATCTTCTTTTTCATTTAGGCTATGGCAAGAGACGAGAAGAACTATTACCAGGACACACCAAATCAAATTAGGAAAAAAATTGAAGCCTACAAAAGAATTCACCCAGATGAGCATGCTGCATTTTTGAAATCCTTGGCAAAAGATGAGATGGAAACATCTTAAAGACTGGACTTGTAATTTTTTAAAATAAAACAATATATGCCAGATAAAAAAACCTCCACACTTTCTGGAAATGCACTTTGGCTATCATCTAAACCTGGAATTTATTTTGGATCAGTTTCATGGTTTATTCTAAGATAATGCTTGACTGACTTTTTCAAAATATGAAAGCAGGAAAGAACAAATCTGCACGTTAATGAAATGTTCTAATACTCCTAGTTATAAATTCCTGTTCATTAGTAATACATACAAGAATCGATTAGGTGAAAGTTAACTGCACAACTCTGAAGTGCAACTGTTTGGTGAAGAGAACATTGAGAATGGTAGTGAAGGTACATTGTAATTGAGAATATCAATTCATTTAAAAAAACTATTTTAATTACGATAGTATGTTTATTTGTTTTTAAACCAAACATGCCACAAATACAACTTTCCAAAAACACACTCATTCATAGCAAAACCTGTTATCAATACACAAGGTTATCGATCACAAATGAAAATTAGTTTGTCAAATTATTTTTATTGGAAAGTTTCATTCCAGTTTGTTAATATCCTTTAAATGAGTATTCTATTACCTTTTTGAAAAAAATGTTCTGCCAAAAATGTTCTGCCACAAAAAGAATATTTGTCTTTTTCTTGTTACATAACACTGGAAAGATTTAGCCAATTATTTTTAAGAACTGTGGAAACTGGCCTTGAAATGAAATGTCAAAACTTAACGACAATTTAAATTATGCACATGGGATATTTGAGGCCTCTAAAGTTGTATGGATTCTGTTGTTGATCAGACTGGTGGTCCAGTTAGTAATTTTGATGGGTCTTTTGTGAACATTGTGACATTTGGAGTGTTTGGGAATAAATAAAACAATATTGCAAAAAGCAAACTGAAAAAATAGATAGTCCACAGCACATGGTAAATTGAATGAGCTATCTGCTGTGCAGCAAATACTCCCTTTGCAAGTACATGATTCAGGGTTTTAGGTTTTGACGCCACATATTAATGATTTGGACCGTGACAGAGTTCATTTAAGTTTCTAAATGAGGTTTGAAATGAATGGTAAGATATGAAAGTGACCACACTAGAATTATATGTTTCAAATTGAGCTCCAGCCACATCCATCTCTAGTCTTCATTACCTCTATGGTTTCCAAAAAGGGTACTTAAACATAAGATGATCAGCTAGAAATGGTTATCTTCCCTATCAGCACAGGAGAAACAAACATTATTTTAAAATGAGCTGACAACTAAACTTCTTACAAAAACGTTTATCCTAGTTCAGAAAATTGTGCCTTTTATATGGTGTAGTTTTAAATTGAATGACAATTAGTGTTAGTTTTATGTATTTTTCTAATCTTAAATGCTGCTGCGTTTCGTCCACAAAAAAAGTCAATTCATTTTACTGTTCTGTGTACTAGTAAAGTACTGTTCTGTACTTTACTATTCTGTGAATCATTTTGAGACGTCTCGAAAATGTGTTAAGCTTCTATATCAAATGGAAGCATTATTATCGATATCTAATTTCTGGCAAAAGTAAATTATTATTTTTCACCTCCTGGTCTGACCTATTGGTAAACTATGAAAGGACAATGATGAATTATGCTGTGCAATTATCACCTCTCCATAAATGTGGAAGTGTTTGCTCATTTTGGCATGACAAGTTGAGTGATAACTTGCTTGGCATCATAGATACTTTTTGGGACATCTGTTCCATCTTGAGTGACGTTAGTAGCCATGAGGAAAAGCTTTCTTTCATAATTCACATTATGGAGTGAAAGATTTCTGTGAAGTTCAGAAATATTAAGAGCCCCGTCAACATCCTGGAAGAACAAAACCAGAACTATTGAATTAATGATAGATATGCTATATAGTAACATTAAAAAGAATAATTTTGCTTTATGAAAGTTTAATGAATCTATGAAACATCATTTCCTCCATTTGTTGAAAGGAAAACTTATTGCATGTTAAAAACCTAATACTTCCTGTATATTATAGTACAAATTGTACCATTATGATTAGCTTTTCTATGAGACCTGCCAAAAAATATTTCTTATCGCCCAAACGTTATTTATGCACATTACCCAAACCATTTCATCAAAAAATATTTGAATAGTTCGTGCTGGTTTCACCTGTCATTAGAATGTGCCAGGTACGAGTGCAATACATTTTTATTAGGTTTATTAAAAGTTATCTTTGATTCCAAGCAGTGAAAATATGGTGAATTGCTCTCTGACTCCAGCAACAAGAACCAATTACATTTGTGTAGCGTCTTCCACGTCAGGAGGATGCCCAAAGGCGCTGAGCAAGACGGCTTGAGGTGCATAATCATTAATGACAAAAAAGGCTTCAGTATCAGCTCTTTTCCTCAGCAGAGCACAGGACATACACAGGAAAATTCACCTGTTTATTTGCCAAAAGCACCAGTGGAAGCTGTGGATCTTCTTTCAGCAGCTTATGTAGCTCCTGCTTAGCCAGAGGCAAACGTTCATGGTCTGCAGCATCTACCACATACACCAGCAACTGAGCTCTACTTAGGTACAGATTCCAGTATGATCGCAAGTTGTAGCTGCCACCAACTGTAAGAAAAGACGTGCAATCACATTAGTGGTATTACTTTCCCTGTGTATGGTTTCAGTGCAGCATTCTGTAAAAAACCCATTGGACTTGGCCATTGGACCGATTTTCATGTTTCACAAAGCAGAAATCTTAGCAATTTACTAGCAATCAAGTTACTGTTCAACCTCCAACACGTACTCACTTTCCAGGAAGTCCAGTTTGCAGTCTCCTGTGTGTATACACATTGCGTTAAAGCCTTGGGTGGGTGCTGTGCTACGTTTCACTTTGCTGGTTGCCAAACAGTTCAGAATACTGGTTTTCCCAGCACCATCTAATCCCAGAACAAGAATCTGCTTATCTCTTGCATCTGTCTTTNAAAAAAAACACAGAATAGTCAGGAGCAGGGCTTCCAATAATCCAACTGATGGAAAGAGCTTGAATGACAGTGATTAGATATGGGCTAGACTCACAAACTGTGGAACACTCCCTCAATCTCTCCGCCTTGCCCCCTCTCCCCTCTTTCAAGTCCTGCCTGACTTCCTCGTCGACTGTGCTTAGGGCCACCTCCCCCCACCCCTGGCTCGGAGTCGGGCTCCGCCACTGTTAAGCGCTCTGAAATGCTACCCTACATGGAGAGCGCTTTAGAAGTGCAAGTTCTTGTTGTAGACTCAAACTGGCTCCACAGAGCACCAACCAACTCTGGTCTCCAGTCAAATACAATACCAGCTTTTCTGTTATGATAAGATTGCTGTTATGGTAAGATCCCTCGCTCTATAGCATGCATTCAGTGCAATACCCTCACAAACTGAAGAAAATCAGATCAGAACAGAGGTGAGTTATTTTAAAAAATAGAGTGAATTAGCTTTCAGATCTAACAACTGTCCTGAATGGCTGGAATTTTTTTTCCTCAGGTTCTCTTCCCACTCTGTTTCCTTGGTGTGTTCTGCAGCTGCAAGCACTGTATATATATATATATATAGCCCAAACCGAAAGGGTAAAAAGAAAGCAAATCTGAGACAACAAGTTCAGGATAAAATGAAAGGAAGTGCGGTCAGATTGGAACAATCTGTGGAACAACTGCTGTGGCTGCCGCGTTTCACCCACAAATAGTCCATTCACTTTACAGTCTATTCTGTGAAGCGCTTTGAGACATCTAGAAGACATGAAAAGCGCTATATCAAAAATGCAAGGATTATTATTGATTATAACAACAAAACAAAATAAAGAGTGTAAAAATGGTCAGATTAAAATCACACTCCACTACCATTCAAAACTGTACCAAATGTAATAAAAGAATACAGTAAGTTCTCGGAGGGGCGTATAGAAAATATATGTGATATAACAGCGTTGTTACTTTTTTTAAGAAAGTGATTGCTCTTCAACAATCCGCTGTGTTTCTCAAATGTCTTATAGCATATTCCAGTTGTTTTTGAAGTAAAGCAGTTGTTGATAATCCATAATTATTATTTACAACTTACTCAGTGTATAACTTCTACCCTGGTAGCATTCACCTATATCCCTTGCGGCGCAAAGGAAAACTGTAAAGCTGATTCCAGAATGTAATCTTTGCTTTAATTAAATTATATTAAACCAGGAGAAGGGATTAAGGGGCTGGCGTGGCCACCTGGCCCCGCACTGAAGTCTCTTGTCGCCAGCTATCCATTAAAATAGCCTATTCCGCAATCGTATTATATTGCTGCGGAGATTTCCGATTACTGTATTGATTTAAACACTGTTCAGGAATTTTAAACTACCATCAAAAAAGGGGTCAGGTTTTAAAAACCTGTGCCAACAATTATCCGCAATTCGCTTTTGAGGGATTTAAGGCTAAATGGGTGGTGGTGGGGAGTGGTTATTGGGGGAATGGGGGGGATGGTTATTGGGGGATGGGGAGATGGTTATTGGGGGGATGGTTATTGGAGGGATGGGGGGGATGGTTATTTGGGGGATGGGGGGGTGGTTATTGGGGGGGATGGGGGGTGGTTATTGGGGGAATGGGGGGGGTTATTGGGGGGACAAGTTTTATTGATTTAGGATCAGTTCAGCTACACGTGGCCATGTTGAGCAAAAGGGAAAGGGCATTGGGACGAGACAGTGCGGTCAAGTCATTGTGTTTACGAACCCCCCCCCCACTCCCTCCCCCCCCCAACCGACCCCCTTTTTTTTTACCTCCTTAATGACCTCGTACTCCTCTTCTGAGCAGCGCCTTTTGCGGTGGAAGTATTTCCAGGAGATGAACAGAGCGCTCCCCAGGACAGCGACCGCCGCTCCCATCGCCAACCCCAACTGCCGCAGACGAGACATGATGGGGGGGGGAGGGAGAGAGAGGGAGTGGAAGTGGGGGGGAAAGTGGTCGGGTTCAGCCCCGGCAACAACAGGGAGGCATCGGTGTTGCCTTTCCTCCTCCTCCTCCCCCTCCCCACACGTCCACTTTTGTCAACCCAACAAGTCTCTCTCTCTCTCTCTTTCTCACCCGCTCAGACACTGGCTCTGCAATAGGCCCATCTGCCAACCAACACACACAGACAACAAGAGAGAGAGAGAGAGAGGGAAACACACACACAGACAACAAGAGAGAGAGAGAGAGAGGAAAACACACAGACAAAAAGAGAGAGAGGGAAACACACAGACAACAAGAGAGAGAGAGAGGGAAACACACAGACAACAAGAGAGAGAGAGAGAGGGAAATACACACACAGACAACAAGAGAGACAGAGAGAGAGACACAAACACAGACAACAAGAGAGACAGAGAGAGAGAGAGAGGGAAACACACACAGGAGAGAGATTCAGTCTCGTCCTTTGTGCATTGTGGGAATCCGATTAAGGCTCTGTGTGTTTGCAGCAGCTCAACTGATTTATTTTACCTGCGATTATAGTCAGGGAGGAGGCAAAGGCGTCTCTCTCTCTTTCTCTCTCTCACCTTCTGTCACAGACACTCAGCCTTTTTTCAGTTCACTCCCTCCCCACACTTCACCTTTACCCGAGTGTTCTGCTCACCAACACTTAAGCAAAGTAAAGCTCTCCCAGCAGTCAAGGCGGGCCAGATGTTATTTAATAACAATAATAATAATCCTTGCATTTGATATAGCGCTTTTCATGTCGGGAGGACGTCCCAAAGCGCTTCACAGAACACACTGTAAAGTGAATTGACTGTATATTTGTGGGCGAACGCGGCAGCCAATTGCGCACAGCAATGTCCCACAAACAGTCATGGATTGAAAATGACCAATTTATTATTGTTTTTGGTTTTGGAGGGATTATTATTAGGCTCTGTGTGGAGTAAGGAAACTTGCCCAAGGTTTCACTCTGCCTGAAATTGAACTCAGGTCTCTCGCTTGCAAAGCGAGTGCTCAAACCACTGAGCTACAGGACTCTTATTTGCTGGGTAAACTTTTTTTAAAAAAAAACACACACACGCACGCGCACACACGTTACTCTAAAACTTAACCCGTCTCAAGACTTGATAATTATAATAATCCTTGCATTTGATATCAGGTCTTTGAGACGTCTCAAAGCGCTTCACAGAATATACTGTAAAGCGAATTGCCTGTAGATTTTGTGGGTGAAACGCTCCTCCTTTTACCCACGCTTTCAGCCAACCCTCCTCTCCAGCCCTCTTGATTGCAACCCCCGGCTCAGACATAAACCCTTAACAGTCCCAACACCTCGGGAGCATAAATGTAACTTTGTTGTTGTTATCAAACCAGAAAAAGGAGACCCCCCTTCCTGCAAATATAAAGAAAGTGTTACAAAGGTCTGAGGGACAGACGTGAGAGTAAACGAACATCACCGGAATAAATCAGTGAGTCAGTCAGGGAGGATGCGAGTGAGTCGGCCAGTCATTGAGTGTGGGAGACTGTCACCGCGGGCCCAGGGGCCGGCAGCCGGACACCGACAGTCAGTGACCCGGCGCTCGCGCACACCCCCCACCCCCGGTCGCAGGCAGCTGAATGCGGACCCACCAGGCCTTGCGCACACATGTGCACACGCACACACGTGCACACACACGTGTACACGCGCACACACGTGTACGCGCACACACGTGCACACGCGCGCACACGTGCACACACACCGCCCTCTCCTTCCTCATCTTCAGGTCGCGTCTGAAGATCTTCCTCTTGGACTGTGGTTACGGTCTCACACCCCCTCCCCTCCCTCTCCCCTCCCCCGCCCCCCGGCCCCCCGCCCCCCGGCCCCCCGCCCCCCCCCCCTGGCTCAGCCTCGTGCTCCGCCGCTGTCCAGCGCTCTGGGACACTCTCCACCAGCGCCGGGGCTCTGCGGCTCACTCCGACTGTCAACGGTACCCAAGCGATGGGGAGGGGAGTAATGGTCGCCGGGAGGGGAGTAACTGTCACGTGCGGAAGGGAGTAACTGTCACGTGCGGAAGGGAGTAACCGTCACGTGGGAGAGGCGGTAACGCGGGGGGGGGGAGGGGGGGGCGTGCCGGTCACGTGGGGAAAGGAGTAACCGTCACGTGGGGGGGAGTAACCATCACGTGGGAGAGGCGGTAACGGGGGCAGTGCCGATCACGTGGGGAGGGAGTAACCGACACGTGGGAGAGGCGGTAACGGGGGCGGTGCCGGTCACGTGGGAGAGGGCGTAACCGTCACGTGGGAGAGGCGGCAGTACCGGTCACGTGGGGAGGGAGTAACGGTGGCTGCGCGAGAGAGTGCGCGCGCGCGCGCGTGCGCAGAGAGCCTCACCCGCGACGGGGGTTGGAGCGGTCCCGGAGGCTCCTCTCCCTCTCCTCCCCGGCGGCCTGAGCCCCGGCTCCCGGCTCCGCCGCACCATGCTCCAGCCCCACCCGCTCCCGTCCCGCGCTCAGTGCACCCCGCTGCTCCCGTAGGACACGCAGCGGCTTCTTCATCACCCGCATCAGGACCGTAAGTGTCCGGTCTCCCGGTGGGCCTCCCGCCGGCCCGGCTTCCGCTGCCCCGTCACCCCCGGCTCCCCGTTGGGTTTCGGGCCTCCCCGTGCGGGCGGCCCCGGCTCTCGGCCCCCGGGGACACGGGGTTTGAGTTTCCCCCCTCAGTCGGTTTAAGGTCACAACAGGAATCGGCCTCAGTGTCCGACCCGCGTTTAATCCTCGGCCCCAAAAGCTCTGAACTCCCGTAGACCGTATTGCTGTTGTTGTTGTTATTATTATTAAAGAGCTCTACAGAAAATTATAATTCTTATTATTTAATCGTTTCGCCCACAAAACGCACTGTGATATCCCGTGAAGGCGCGTTGAGAGGCGTCTCGACCGACGCGACGACGCGCAACATCCAGTGCGCGGGTTGTTGTTGTCACAGCGAACGCCTCATAAACAAAGTATTATTATCATAAATATTACCATAAATATTATAAATAGCGTTAATAGTAGATGCTGAGGGTGGGGGTGGGCTGTCTGGTCAGTGTTGGGCCGTTGCTTTGTGTGGAATTATTATTATTATTATTATAATTAAATTCAATTCACTTTACAGTCTATTCTGTGAAGCGCTTTGGGACGTCCTCTCGACGTGAAAAGCGCTATATCAAATGCAAGGATTATTATTATTATTATTATTCCAGATCTGTTCTCTGCGTTGTTGTCGTTGTTGTTAAAAAAAAATATTTTGTCGTTGAGGGCAGAAAAGGGACGAGATGGCTTTCTTCTGTGTCTTCCATGAAACTGGTGGATTATTATTAAAGGATAGTAAGAATAAGAAGTAAAAGCCCGTGCGTTTGCACTTTCTTAACAGGCGGAGGATTCTGAAGGGTTTATTTGTATTTTCTTGTGGAGAATCCCGCAGGGAAACTGTGCCTGACTGTTATGGCATCAAATTAACTTTCCTGGTAATTTTAGGCTCGTTTGTTTGCCTTGTTTCTCCTACCTTTCCCTGCGGGTGATTTTGGCTCAGTTTTACAAACCCTTCGTGGTTAATTGAGTTATTTGGTGCCCCGTGGCCAATCTTTAAAACCTGTAATCAGATTTTTCACTTGTTATACACATTTTTAATAAGTCAAAATTGTCCCGAGTGAATTCAGCAGCGTTTCAGTTTTAATCCTTTTGTTAGCCACTTGATGAGTTTCAAGTTACAAAGGTTGATTGTGTAATTAGGACGAAGTATGGCTCTGCTTCGCAGGCTCCGGCTTCACGTCCCCCGCCTTTCCCCGCCACACCATTGGCGGGTGGGCCTTCAGTCTCTGCCCCACCCTCTGGAACTCCATCCTGCAGTCCCTCCACTTTGTCCCCTCCCTCGCCTCCTTCAAGACCCGTCTCAAGACCCTCCTCTTTGACTGTGCATTCGGTCACCCTCCTACTCCTACCCTCCCCTTCACCCCCTCCTGATCCCAACCACCAGCTCCGGTCTGGATCCCTGACTGTCCAGCGCTTTGAGCCTCCTACTGACGTGAAAGGTGCGATACAAATGTAATTTGTTGTTTATGATGAGGATAAACGCTGATCGTGTTTGTTGCAGCCATTGAATATTCTTCAAGTGACTTGCTGGGAAAGATGTCCTTACCAGTAGGAATGCATCGTAGAGCATTCAGTTATGATGACGCTTTGGAAGATTTATCACCAATGACACCTCCGCCCGCTGACATGGGAACCAATACATTGTGGAAACAACCTGTCATCCGAGAGCGGAAATATCAACAATTGTCTAAGGTAAACTATTGACGAATTGTAGAACTGAGCCTTCTAGAAATCTTCATGCCTAACAAACTGCTCCTGTTTGGGAATTGCAGTAGCCCTTCCAACCAGATACAATTGGTCATTCGTTTCATGAGTGGTTGAGGATCGTTGATGTATGCAAATTGGCTGTTGTGTTGCCTACAAATAAAATCCCTATACTTTACAGTAAATCCTGTGAAACGCTTTGAGATGTTGTGGAGATGTGAAAGGCACTTTCAAATATATCGAATGTAATTATTATTGCATTCATTTGTAAAATAAGATGTAGTTTTAATACAATTATAATTGATGTGGAACCATCCAAATTATTTATATTATATTTATATTGGAATACAAAACAGTTTAGTTTAAATTGTAATCACCACATGCCTGATAATAATCCCTCAAGAAAAAAAAGATAACATTTTGGTCACTCAATCCATGACTGTTTGTGGGACACTGCTGTGCGCAATTGGCCCACAAAATATACAGTCAATTCACTTTGCAGTATATTCTGTGAAGCGCTTTGAGACATCTAGAAAATGTGAAAAGCACTATATCAAATGCAAAGATTATTATAACCAAGGTGAAGTATTGTTTCTCATTTACCCACTTTTGTGTGCGGAAATGTGAATGACAGTTTTTCATATTTTATTGCAGGATGACGATGGAGAAAATGGTGTTGTGTCTTCGGTTGTGATTCCATCATCAGCTGGAAACCTGAACAAAGCCAACGTGGTGAAAGCCAAAGCAACTTCAGTCATGAGCTCACTCATGACAAGTAAGTTGTCTCTTTAAAAACGCAGCCTGGAGATTTACTGAGCTGGTGACTCAATGCTGATGGGAAACCTTTCATAGAGTTTTACTTTAACAGTAAAGTAGTATTCATATCTACAGAATGCATGTTTCATTTAAATAGAAATTGTGTATAGATGTTACTGTATACAAACATGTTGTATAAATATTTTCTTTATATTGGAATACAAAACAATTTAATTTAGATGGCAAAGAGCACGTATTGATGTTAAGTGACTGTAAATTTCGTTATTGAACAATAACATGTACGTTTTCTTTCTATAAAATGTGTATTAAGATGCTACGATGCAGGCAAGTTCCTTAATGGGTTTTACACAATTCCACTGTTTGAATTTCCAGAGCAGACACAGGAAAGCATACAGCGGTTTGAGAAGCAAGCAGGCCTGACAGATGCAGGTTACCAACCACATAAAGGCTTGATCGCAGAGGAAGCCAGTTACCACCGGGTAGGGGAAGCATTACAGGTGAGAACAAATTTTGGAGAGGAATGACATTACATGCTAAATATTAATTTATTTTTTAAATGAAAAGATTGCAAAGCTCTGAGTTAAATAATGTAGCATTTTCATTCTTAATCTTCGGACTAAATATACTGATATACTGAGTGTGTTCTCAGCATATTGTAGTGCTAATGAACCAAAATGATCCTGATTCAAGCATCAAGTTGGCACCTTATGTGCAAAATAAAACTCCTTGTATTGTTCTCTAACAACGTTGCTTAATGCCAGGTGGACTGGTGTGAATTTTCACTGTAGTAGTCTTGTCATTGAAACTACAGTTTGCACTACACCAAGGACTTTTTATAAACCTTTATTTATGGGAAAAAAACCTTGATTGCTTTGAAATTTGCAATATAAGGAATCATGGTACAAATTGAGCTGAGCCAGTGCGTATTAATATTATACTGAATTGTTACAGCCTGGATCAGTAGCTTTAATATGTTTTTCAAAAAAACAGAAGTTTAAAGGCCAGAGTTTGGATGCACCTAGAGACGATAAGCAGAAATCTTTATCAGCCCAGTCAACCCCCAACGTCACTCCCCAGCCCTCACCAATACCCAAGCGAAGGTATGTAAATATTTGTGGACATTGCTCACAAGGCTATGATTTTACACAACTTGTATTGTTAGCCATGAAACATACATCAGTTGAGTTTGTAGCAAACGTAATTTCAGTTTGTGAGCAAAATGATTTGACATTGGCAGTTGGTATCCAGTTGCTGTACAAAATGCCTTGAATACTGCTGTTGTTTTCCAGGCTCTCTAAGGACTCTGTATTAAGGAATGAAAGTTAAATTACAGATGGCTTGAGGCATAATATAAAGGTCCTGGGAAAGGGGGAAGGATACAAGTTAGCTGAGAAAAATACATAAGCTGCCTTCTATCCCAGTGTCCTGACCAATGGTGCAAGACAGGATGCTCTTTAAGGTAGGGGGGAGACGAGCAAATGATTGATTAGAGAATGAAGAGAAATGGAGGAAGATGCCTCAAATAACAGTAGCTATTCCAGTTAAATTGATTGAAAGTAAAGTAGTTTGAGAGCCATGAGATTAAAACTCAACGGCTGGAAATATACAGTTGATCAGTTAACATCTGGAAAAGAGAGATTAACATGGACATGGCCCTTCATTAGAACAACAGTTCATAGGCTTCTGTGGAACATTTTAAACATGGTTTTGTGATTAACCATTTCATTACATTTTCTTTCCTAAGTTCTAACACCTAAACACAGAAATAGATTAATTATTTCACCTGAACACAGATCTGAAAAATATTGTTCTTTTTTAATGTTTCAGACCTTTGCTTGGCCAGGGGGCTGATTTTGCTACTAGAAGTGTGGAAGGAGATTTCACTCGATTTGAAGGAGGTGCAGCTGAAAGATGCAAGTCATTTTTACGTAGCCAGAGTCACAAAGCTGCTGAGCCAGGTGGGAAGGTTAATAAAATAGAATGTACATAAGAAATATTGAGGGTGACCAAAGAGAATTCAATTCACTGAAACTCATCCTTTACTACCTACTCTTATCTTCCCCTCATCCCTTTATTGCGCTAATTTTCTGTTAAGGCATCTAATTGTATGCATCTTTAATTTTATACTTGTTTTGGATTATATGCAAATTATATCACAGTTTCTTTTGATTGACTGAAGTCCACCTGATTTATGCAGTTTATTTTGTTCACAATTAAGTACTGTTGCATTAGATTGTTGGTGTTATGCTATTTGCTAATCAATATATTTTGTGGGCAGGTGGCTTTACTCTTCAGTCGTACAAAGGCGGCCCCAAACCCTCTCCTATGGACATAATGCGTACTCAGGGCATTGCTGCCAAGATGGCAGAAAACTATACCAACATCAAGCCACCCAAGATGGACATGCCAATACCAGAAGGACTAAACAGGCGTCCCAAACACACTCGCAGTGTAAATCCTAGAGATGTGAATGTGTTTGCTCCAACAGGATTTTAGTGTCATTGAGATGTGCTGTTGGCTGTGTGCACCCACTGCTTAAGTAGCCTACAAAAGTAATTTGTTGCTCATCATATGAGACGCTGTTTGGTTGTAATTAATTTGACGACAATTTGATTTGTAGATTTATTTTGATGTGGGAGGTAGGAGGAGGGGAAATTTCAGCCTGTGTTGTTTATGGAATCCAAACCAGTCCTGGTAATTGGAACCTCCCATAATGCATATTTGCACCAAAAATGGTTTAATATTCTTGTAGACCTCCTTATTTGGCTATTCTATACCTAACCCCACCCCCCCAGAATTCCTCAGTATTTTGGAGTTTTAAGACCGACTGCTAAATAAAATATAGACTCGCAAAGAAACCTGAGCATTCTATTTATAGTCATTAACCAGCATTAAAGTCGCCTTCTACGTTGCTTTGTTAGGAAATACTAACAGCAAGAAGGTGTGACAAGAATGTGCATCAGTTGATGTGAAGATAAGAGATAGGTTTGTACATTAGTATGCAAGTATATAACAGTGTGGTACTAGTTAGCCATCTGTATTTGTCTGTCTGGTAATTGTCTAATGTATATTAAATAAACTCTTGCACATTATTTTGTGACAACTTCATTTTAATCTATGGTTTCTGTTCCTGCTCATTACTCTATGCAGGTGCATATTGGCATATTTTGTCCTGTTTTCATTTATAATGGTGGGGTCGAGATGATCTCGAGTTGTCGAGCTATTCCGTTGTACAGTAAAACCAGACTTGCTGTCTTTCCTCTCCAGACACAAGCTTCTTTACTATAAATGTTGCAGTTTCTATTTTTGAGTTTTTAGTCTTTTGAAAAATACTACAGTGTTTACATGGTGGCAAAACAACTTCTGATATTTATTGTTTTTGCTTAGGAAGGACACCACATCATCGGTTATGTTAGTTACATTTTCTGTCCCCCTTTTTTAAAAAAAGTGTTTGCTTTTGTGCTGCTTGTTACTCTCATTGTGTGGTTAAATGTGATGATTCAGCAATGGCCAGCAAAATTGAATTCTGTATTTTCCCTTTAATTGCTCGGTGCAATGGGGGAAGGGGGGAGAATGGAAATGAACACAGATTCACTGGAATGTTCAGTGTTGCTGCAATTATGTTCATCGCTAAAATGGTTGAAATCAGAATGAATGGAACTCTTCAAATGCGGACGGCCTCTCAAAGTCCCATCATAGTCCAGTCCCATCTGTCTGCAGCACAACACATACAGGGATGGGTGGAACGTACTCTTTCATGTGAGTTTGTTTTGATGGTGCTTGTGATCACCAGTGCTGTTTCATGTCCATAGCTTGATTTTGTGTGCTTCTGAATTCATTACAGATGTGGATGTAGTCCTTTTTGTAGTCACCCTTGAGAGTTTGACTTGTTTCAATTAAGCAAGCATAATAATCCTTGTGTTTGATACAGCAATTTATGTGGTCAAAGTGTCTCAAATCGGATTGACTGTAAAGTATACTGACTATAATTGTAAGTGAATGTAGTAGTCAAGTAGAAAAGCGAGGTCTGGAACAAAGTTGTTAGGTTTTCAGGGGACTGAAATCCTCAGCTTTCACCATCATTATTCAGATAGTGATCGATTGGTTAAACAAGGGTTAAAATTCAGGGAGAAATAAAGGTTTAATATTATTTGTAACAGTAATGACCTGAGCTCCAGAAAAATCAATCACCGAATGTTAGCGCTGCAACTGCTTGCACTCTGACGGCTGAGCAAAGCAGTGTATTAAAGTTCCATTTAACAGTGGGTGAATATACATGAACTATATAAACAAATGACAGATTGCAAGAGTGAGTGGCACTTTTTAGTCATAATGGCAGACAGCTGCCTATTACCATTTTTGAAGCTTTTGTTAAAAGAAAACAGGATTGTGCTGAGATCACCAGATATGTGTCAGGTTATCAAAGCAGCAAGTACAGTGATCCAATCTGATCGTTCTGGATAGGAACAGATGTGTGGTTGGAAACAAAACACAATTCATTGTCTTCAACTAAGGTGGTTGTGGTCTGAGCACATTCAGTGATTTTAGTTTGTGCCTTTGGTAATTAAATGTCTATTTTGTAAATACTTTAGGCTAAAATGTAATTTGGAAAGACAATGTCATTACCACGGAAATTCCAGGCCTTGTGGTCACGTTCAAAAAAGAAAGAAGATTCTTTGGAATTGAAAGTAAGCTTAGTGTGCAGTGCGTACTGATCCACTGTTAACATATAATATTGGTATTCCTAACAGAAAGCTGACTACAGTCATGTAAATTATTATCCAACCCTCATGATCTTGTGAACCAAATATGACAACTTTGGGCCTTTTTCTAAATGAGCCAAAAATGATTAATTCATAACTGGTGTTTGGGTTAACATTCATCCTTACCTATTCTAATTTTAGAATTATAATAATCCTTGGAATTGATATGGAGCCTTATTACATTGTCAAGATGTTTAAACGCGCTTCACAGGGTATACAGTAAAATAGATTGTGTATTTTGTAAGTGAAACTTGACATTTATGATCTCAAGTCTCTTTATTACTGAAGGTAACTTAAACCTGTGTTACGAACAAATAATAATCAATCAGGATCTATGTCGTTGTTTGGGTGAGAATATCGATTACTTTTGGTGTCGATTACAGATCTTGGCTCAGTCATAGTGCTTCCACCTCAGAAATCAGCAACAGGACCTTAATAGCTGCCACTGCCCATGAACAGGAAAGCTCCGGGTCTCAAAACTGGTGGCCTTTTATCCACAAGCCAGTCAATGATCCCAAACCAGGTGTGGGATGTTTGTACTATTTCTGTTCATAATTATCCATTTTGAAACATTTTACATTTTGGTTGGGCTACAAAACAAATTCTAAAAGGTTGATTGAAACTTATTATTTATTTTATAGCATTATTTCCAGTTTGGGAATTTAACTTTCTTTGTTACTTGCCGTGTGAATTCTGAGTGCGCGGGTGTGTGGCATTGTGGGTGTCTATGTGGGTGTTGAGTTCTTGTGTGGGGGGCTGGGTGTACATGGGTGATGTATATGTGTATGAATGAGTTGTGTTTCTTCAATTTGTTGTCTTCTTGGCCAGGTTTCTCCACTGCTCAGATGTGTCAAGCTGCTGAGAAGTCCCCTGCTGTGGGCGTCAGTTTTGCCCAGCTGCCCGCTGAGCCGATGCCAATAGTGCCAGCAAACTGCAAACCACCCACAGTGGATGTATCCAGGCCTGAAGGGAAAATCCCGTTCTTCTCCCGTACACACACTATAGGCCTCCGAGATCTGAACATACTTGCTCCCACAGGATCTTAGGACCGCCATCCACTAACTGCAAAAAAGTCCATTGGGTGTGGATACCCGACCTTCTCCAGTGTACACAAGAAATGATCTTTCCCACTTAACGTTGGACCCTCAGAGTAACACCCATCAAGATTCTGTTTTCTTTCCTTGGTTACGGTGAAGCTCCCGACACCTTATGTGACTGACCAAGGTTAGCTCACCCGAGTGGGTAATAGTGGCCATGAAACCACCCCCAATCCAACACTGCCAACTCCATTACATGTTGGAAGCAACTAAGCAAGAACTTGTGTTTTTATATCAAACTACACGCACGGACAGTTGCTGCTACTCGCCTATAGTTGACACGTTAGCTGAAGAGGAATGATATTTTTGAAAGCTGTGTGTGGGAATGAATGTCTAATTTCTTTCCTCTAATAAAAGCACGCTTGCTTCCAATACTGTGCATGTGAGGTAAATATACATGAGGTTATTACAAACTAATGATTCAATAGCAAACAAATTAAACACCGAATCTGCGGATTTTAAAAAAGTGCAATAAATTATATTTATAATTTTTTAAAAAAAATACAAAATTGTTCCAGATTCATATTGTACATTCACAGGATTTGGCTCATAATAGCATGAAGAAGCTGAGCATCGGTGAAACAACAAGAACAACTTGCATTTATATAGTGCCCTTCATGCAGGGTAGAGTACCAGAGCGCTTGACAGTGCTTGAGCATGACGCCGGGAACACCTGGGTACCAACCGATGCTTGATATGTTGTTGTAATTATGCTTGAGCAAACACATGAACAGAAATAACCACAATGTATGTCACAATTCACAGTGAAATCTCAATACTGTTTAAATCACTGCCATTTCTCTTTTACATATAAAATAAACCTACACACCAAGAACATTTGATTACTTTAGTTATTTCCACTCACTGCCAACAGGCTAATTGCGGTTTCCGAAAAATATATAAACCCGGCAGCTTGTTGCTGGCTTTACCACAGTAAAAATAATGTTCATTTTATGCCCTTCACTGTTGCTTTTTTTTTTTGAAAAAAGCAAAATCTTCATTGTTCTTTCCCCCACCACCATGATTATTTTTGGTCACCCTCACGTCACTTTGAGCCACGTCAGTTTCCTCTGTAGATCTGTCTCAGCTTTCACTGAGATTCTCTCACAAAAAGATTAATAAATGACCACTATTTATCAGCAGGTTAAACGGTGAGACGTTTACTCAACACTGCACCACTCGGATGCAAATTCTGTGCCTGAGATTAATGCCCGGTGTGTGTTTTGGCCTTCAAGTGCAGGAGCAAATTTTGGCCTTCAAGTACAGGTGCAAATTCTATTCAATGAAATATAATCTCATCTTGCAATCTCTCTCATACACACACTTGCACTCACCAACCATCCTTCCCTCCCACTCGCTCTTTAGAAAACTTTTAAAGAGAAATTAAAAGATAAAGAGTACAACAATAGCTGGTGTATGCTTGACAAATGCAGTTGGTCCCTGGATCCAGAGAAAAAAGCCTGAGTTGAAGATAAATTCTTGTGACGGAGAGAATTCTGTAAAGAAATTCAACAACAAATGGCGTTTATATAGCGCCTTTCATATCAGAAGGAGGCGATTTTGTAAGTGTGGTGGGTAAAGGCATGCTCCCAGTGCCCAGAATAAGGTGCTGAGGCATAAAAGTTTCTTAAAGGCAATGCTGAATTCATATAAGATATAAAGATCTGTTTAGCTTCAAAATAAATTAAGAGACAAAAAAAGTTATGTTCCAGTTGCGTCACAAAGGAGAGCTTTCAGCAGGTCCGTCTGTTGTTTGAGCTCTGGGTTTAACGGAGCCTTTAAATCACTGGTCACTCGCTTGTGAAACACTTTCATATCGAACTCAATGTCCTGTAGTGTGATCTCATCGTGAGTCGTGAGCACTGGAGGCATTTCGGCCAGAACGTTCTTCACCCGGTCTGTGATCGAGTATCTTAGGTGGCCTGTGGGACATGAGCAAGATATGGTTACAGCAGAAACCAGGCGGGGTTACACTGGTCACAACATAACAAAAAGCCACAGCAATAGAAAGCAGGAAAGATTCACGTAGACCCCTCTTGACTTACATCTGGTCACTTCTTGGTAGCTCAGAAGCAGTAGACACAGGAGGTGGATAAACTCATCCCAACACTGCCATTTGCTCGAAAATTGCTCCTGTGAAAACCAACAGTGTGTCAATCCTACAGGGTGTAAATCTTACACCTGTGGGCACAGAAAAATAACACTGGCCCTTTTATTTGCCCCCTGGCGCCCCAACATGCGCAGATAAATGCATCCCATCGCTGTGTGCAAATTGGCTACTGCGTTTGCCTGTAAGTATGCAGTAAATCCTGTGAAGCACTTTGGGATGTTTTCCTACACGAAAAGGTGCTGAATAAGCGAGCGGAGGCTGTTACTATTCTGTGCATGACGTGGAATAGCAGATGCAGAAAGGACGAGTCCTGTACTTACTTCGGTTTCCAGGGATATTTTGGCATATTTAAGAAAATGTAGAATTTTCGCCAGCGACATGGGGAGAGAGCTTTGCTTCTTGGTGTAATAGTGGAAGAGGATGTCCAGGAGCTTGCATCGCAACAGCCGGCTCTCCATGCTCGTCAAGAGCATCATCCTTCAGAGCGGGAACAAAAAAAAAACTGACTTGTTAAGACTTCAGCATCTAAGCGTCTTGCTGCGAAGAGCACAGCGGAGGCTTTGAAACCCACCTGTGTGATCGCTTGGAAATGTACAGCAAATGCTGAAAGAGGGCTTCGGCGATTTTGTTGGAACTGCAGGTTGGTGACCTGTCCACCTCCACGGCCAGAGTCAGCATTCTCTGAAGAAGACAAGTAATTCTGGAGAGAGAGAGAAAAAACAACAAAAGCTTTCGCTGAAAATGTTTGACTCGCTTCCCTGCTTTGTTTCGCAAAGTCACTTTGGTTATCTCTTGGTGCACAGAATTAATAACTCTCTAAGGCTCTGACCCATCGAGGAATTGGATGACTACATCTCTTCAATACACACAGGGACTCTGACACAAACAGCCATCAGCCCTTCAGTGCCAGGGGATGGGTGTCTCCTATCTACTGAATATTCTAAAGATGTTGTTCAATTTCTTCAGTGATTTATTTACCTTGGAATCCTCGAGTCCACTCTACTCGACCCAGAGGGCTGTGGTTCGGAGCGAGCACTTAGATCATCCTTATCCTCTGACTCCGTGGTGATGGTATCTATCAGCCACTTGAGGACACTTCTGTATATGAAATAAACTTCCCTTCAGCTTTGTGAAATGATTAAAACCCCAAAAATGTTCGGTAATCTATCTCCAGCAGTAGCTAACACCCAGAAAGCCCATTTGATTGGAAAACACTCTTGTCTGTGGTCAATAAGCAAAACAAAACCTTCCTCCCATTTTACCAATTGTCTGGTCAACATTTTTGACCAGCTTTATCGTAGTACTAAAGATAAAACATTTTACTCTGCAGCACATGGTACTTATTGAATTGCGTTTGAATGATATCCCTCCACAGCATCCCACTGTGGATCCATTTTAACACTGACGGTACAATCAATCTTTCCCTCGCTTCTTGAATCTATTCTAACAGTCCACTCTATTGAATAACAAGCTCCTCATCAAAGGATGAAGGTACAGCGAGTACCTCACATTCGAGAACTTGTCGTCACAGGACAGCACGGCCTTGGCGATGGACTGGTTAAGAGCGTTGTGTCTGAGTCTCAGCTGAAAGTCATCATCGAGGGTTTGGATGACGTACTGCAGGAACAGGAGCTGGCTGAAGCTGCTGTGCAAATGCATCTTGTGATGCTCCTTGAAAGACACAATGATTCGTTCAGGATCAGGTTAACACGTGTGGGGGGAGGGGAAAGGGGAACGGGAATGATCCCAATTTATCACCAGTAACCAGACAAGGCAAAGCTCCATATAGCATCTCATCATACCAGAGCATCCTATCACACTGCAGCTGTAGTTATGGAGCAGGTTTTAATAATGATGATAATAATAATAATAATAATAATAATGATAATTATAATACGGCCATTTGCTAAGGGGGGGACCAAAGTGAGTGACTCAGCACATCGCTTCCACTGATGGGGAAAAGATTAAATTTTTAAAAAAATAATACAATGTTACTAAACATTGGTGGACCCTCCATTTTCAGACTTAATTAACCTAAGACCTTTAAGAGAGGGTTTGGCTGTACCTTGTTCTCCATGTGATAAGCTAGCAGTTCCCAGTCCCACTGCACTGTGGAAACAGTTGCAGGATGCAGCCTATTTAAATATAATGGAATATTCGTTAGACGTTATTCTACACTGTGTATAAAAAAAACAGTTTGCGCACGTGAAGGAATAGTGGTTGGAAGCACCTGACAAACCATCTCTGGGATTTGCACGTGAAGGTGGGATGCGTGGAATTCTCAGTTTGGTTTGGAGACTCTTAAGCACGGTGATGGGTTTCCTCGCGTGTCACAGCTGCCTCAAAAAAAATTGTGAGCAAGACTCTGGGCCTGACATGATGCTCCGCAGCGCCTCCCCTCTCTGCACCCCCTTCCCTTCTGCTCTGCAACCCCCCACCGGTCTCCGAGGGTGGTGATGGACCTCAGGATTAGAGAACTGCACAGCGACAGGAACGAACAATGAGGGTAACTCACTGCTGGATTTTCATGAGGACCATGTAAGCAGACTGGACGATGTTGTGGGTTTCACAGCCCAGCAAGATCTTCTTGATGACATGTTCCACGACTTTACTAGACGGATAGCGTTGAGGAGAAACAAAATCGGTGAGAAGCTGCAGGGTTACCTCGGCGAAGTCCTCGTCGATGGTGCTGTTTATCATGTTGTGCTGCCGCTGGGAGATGGGTTCCTGCAACGCAGACAATGAAATGGCTCAAACTGGTCAGGAGAAAGGGCCAAGAGAACAAACAGTCCTTTTAAACTCACAAACCCCGGCAGAAATGCTTTGTTCACGGGACTGGAAAACGGCATTTACAACTCATCCTCACCCTCTGGAACTCCATCCCGCAGTCCCACTGCCTCGTCCCTACCCTTGCCACCTTCAAGACCCATCTCAAGACCCTTCTCTTCGACGGCGCTTTCCATCTCCCTGCTTTCTCCCATAGCCTCCAAACTCCCCGACTCTGCCTCCCAGCTCAGGTCCGTCTTAGACTGTCCAAAGCCTTGGGAAGTCCTTCTGACTTGAAAGGCGCTTTACAAATGTAATTTTGTTGTTGTTGTTGTCCTTGTTTGTAAAATAACATCTCGCTCTATTCCTATTTCTACTTGATGTGATAAGGCACCACACTCCATTGTATCGTGATTGAGCTGGGGTGCGGACAACCTGACCCAAGGTTCCTGATCTCACTGCTCAGACTTGGAAAATTATAACCATAAAACTTTACAGCACAGCATGCCTATTTGCCCATTGTGCCTTTGCCGTCTTTCTGAATTTGTCTAATTTTAAATGCGGTCATGAATTCTGTTTCGTTCCAAGATCTAATAACCTGAGCTGTAACCAAACCAAAACTGATTCATAATAATCCTTGCATTTGATACAGCGCCTTATCACATCTTCGAGACGACTCAAAGCGCTTCACAGAATATACTGTAAAGTGAATTGAATGTATATTTTGTGGGCGAAAAGGTCCTGGAATGAGTCGTTGCAAAACACTGCAGCCCGTGTCCTCTCCCGCACCAGGCTCCGTGACCCTATCACCCCCATTCTCGTCTGACTCCACTGGCTTCCCATCACACAGAGGGTACAGTTCAAGATCCTGGTCCTCACTTTCAAAGCCCTCCATGGCCTTGCTCCCCCCTACCTCTCCAACCTCCTAACCCACTACCAACCTGCTCGCTCCCTCCGCTCAACGGGATCCAGCCTTCTTCATGTCCGCCTCGCCTGCCCCACCATTGGCAGACAGGTCTTCAGCCACTCTGCGCCTACCCTCTGGAACTGCATCTCGCAGTCCCTCTGCCTCGCCTCCTCCCTTGCCTCCTTCAAGACCCGTCTCAAGAGCCTCCTCTTCGACCGTGCCTTCGGTCACCCTCCTTCTCCCCCTGCCCTCAACCCTCTTCGATCCCGACCCCCAGCTCGGTTCCGAAACACCCAAGTGAGGAGGCGAAATGCAACTCTTGTTTCAGTTCTTCTCTAGTCCCATATTAGTGTTTTGTAACAGAGTGATAACAGGACTTTGTGGACACCCTGTAGATTAATCTGAAGCTCACTGTGTTTTTCCTCTGAGCAATGACTCCTTTCCTTCTAATTTTATGTCTTCATTGTGTCTGGAGCTGTTGATTTATATTGGGTCCTGGAGCAAGCGAGATTGTCCAGCGCCATGGGACATCTTCCCGACGTGAAAGGTGCTATACAAATGTAATTTTGTTGTTGTTGTTACTGTTGTGAAACACGGCAGCCAATTGTGCACAGCAGTGTCCCACAAACAGTCGTGATTTGAGTGACCAAATTTTTATTATTTATTTGAAGCATTTATTACCCCTGGAAAAGCAATCTGCCAATCGACTAACAACCGGGTTCCTACTTACTGCTAGGTAAACAGAGGCATGTAGTGTAAGGAAACTTGCCCAACATTTCACCCTGCCCGGGAGTTGAACCCAGGTTCTTTCGCTTGTGAGGCGAGTGCTCTAACCACTGAGCTACAGGACTCCTGTTTATTTGTGTAATTCACAACTGGTGACACACAAAGCAACTGTAGCTGGTTTCTATCTTCAAAAGATAGGTCTCTACCTTTCCTCTGCACTTTGCCCAGGCTGCGGGGCTCACTCACCTTGTCTCCTCTTTCTGATCTGTGCTGATTGACAAAGATATGTTGAATGGGGGCTCCGATAAGATACTGGAAACTCCGCAACATCTCCTTGTCGATTGAATAGTTCGGGCTTGCTTCTGCAGACCCAGCCGATGCAGAGGCTTTAGCCGATGCAAAGGGCTCTGAGACGCTACCCTGCGTGGAGGACGCTATGTAAGTGCAAGTTGTTGTCGTTATTCTTGCTGTAGATTCATTCAATGCGAGTGCGGGGGTTCTCGACTTAAGCAATGTCATTTCAGGGGGTCTCGACTTAGTCAATGCCAGATTAGGGGGGATAGACTCAGTCAATGACAGATCGGGGGGAATAGACTCAGTCAATGGCAGATCAGGGGGAATAGATTCAGTCAATGGCAGATCAGGGGGAATAGACTCAGTGAATGCCAGATAGGGGGGGATAGACTCAGTCAATGACAGATCAGGGGGAATAGACTCAGTCGATGGCAGATCAGGGGAAATAGACTCAGTCAATGACAGATCAGGGGGAATAGACTCAGTCGATGGCAGATCAGGGGAAATAGACTCAGTCAATGACAGATCAGGGGAAATAGATTCAGTCAATGGCAGATCAGGGGAAATAGACTCAGTCAATGGCAGATCAGGGGAAATAGATTCAATCAATGGCAGATCAGGGGAAATAGATTCAATCAATGGCAGATCAGGGGAAATAGATTCAGTCAATGGCAGATCAGGGGGAATAGATTCAGTCAATGGCAGATCGGGGGGAATAGATTCAATCAATGGCAGATCAGGGGAAATAGATTCAGTCAATGGCAGATCAGGGGGGATAGATTCAACCAATGTCAGATCAGGAGGTGCAGACTCAACTGAAATGAGTATAGGGGATCTGGAATCAGCTGATGTCAGTTCAGATTCTTGTGCTTTGTGTTCAATTAGCAAACATTTATTTGAACTTTTACGTTGCAACCAACATAAAACATGAAGCACTGGCTTCTGTGTTCCCAGAGCAGGGTCTTGCTCTGGTCCTCTGGTGCCTTGAGGTAACAGTGATGGTGTATTCTTAATGCTTCGTGCACTAAGAGTTTCTTTGGTTGTACACGGCGAATCATCAGCTGTCTTCTCAAGGCAGTTTTCGAAAATGTCTTCCAAACTGTCTCCCGTCTGACTTGGTGATGAATAGGAGAGGAGAGTATCAGGTGAACAAGGGCCTAGAGAATCCAAGTCGCTGTTGAAACTGGTGTCGCTGGTTCCGGCCATACTGTAAACTGAGCCGCAGCTCTTCCCACCTGATGGAAGGCTTATCTGCGGATCCGCTGCTGTGACCTGAGAGGTTTGCATTTCATCAAGGCCAATGAACTCGAGTTCAGGCAAGGCCTTCACAACTGTTGGTTTGCTTTTGATGGGAATGGATGAGTTTTCCTCTGTTGTGATTTCAACTGTCAAAACAGGAGGTTCGCTGAGATCAGGCTCGTCCTTAGCAATCATCCAACTGGATTCGCAGTTGAGAGATGGACATTCCCCACTACTGTCTGACAGGTCCTCATTTGATTCCAGTATAAAGTGGCTTTCAGAGGATTGCATGTACTCTTCTCTTCGGTTAGCGTTCATTGTGTTGATCTGAATAATTTCTTCACTGTGGCTCACGTATTCTTCCCCTTCATTGTCATCTCCAGTTAGATCAATATGGTCCTGAAAGAAACCAAGTGTTTTCAAGCCTCTTACTACAGTATCGAATGATCAGTTTCAATAACAATCAGCTGCTGTGTTTTACCCACATAATATACAGTCAATTAATTCACTTTGTAGTATATTTTGTTAAGCGCTTTGAGTCTCTCAATGACATGAGGATATCAAATGCAAGGATTATTATCTGATAGTATTACCACGGATGACACACACACACACAGAACTTTTCTGCGAAAACCTGATTTTTATTTTCTGGGAAGTGGAAGTTTGTTTCTCGGTTCTAAGTCTGGCTAGGATTTCTGCAGTCGGGAGACACGTGTTGGAGGAACCCACACAGATCCAAGAAAGTACTGGATTTTTACAGCCATCAAAAGACACTGTTAGAAATAGGTGCTCTTACTCAACAACAGTTATTACTGAACATTTACTCGGGTGAACCTCTGAAATAACGTGCAGTAGATTCGGTTACCGTGTTGGCTAGCAGTGATGCAAAAGGGCAAGCCTTTGGGATATGAAGCTTTTGAGATAGCCCTTTCCAAATCAGAGCTCCTCACTAACGGCAAGCGCAGCCTCAGATTGTAAATGTAAACAGTAATGCTTCATTCTGATGCATTATTGTGATGTCACTGGTTACAGTTTAAAAGCAGTTTATTCAGCTTTGACAATATCCACCTGGTTGTATCTGGATAACAATTTACTTGTTTTTTCAACAAAAAAAATCTTAAAACAGTAATGTGTTTATTAAAGTGCACACATTTTTAATAATAATAATAATAATAATCCTTGCATTTGATGTAGCGCTGTTCACGTCGGGAGGACGGCCCAAAGCGCTTCACAGAACACACTGTAAAGTGAATTGACTGTATATTTGTGGGCGAACGCGGCAGCCAATTGCGCACAGCAATGTCCCACAAACAGTCGTAGATCGAAAACGACCAATTTATTATTGTTTGGGGTTTTGGAGGGATTATTATGAAGCGCGTGTCCTCGGCTCTCGCCTGTGATGGTTTTTTTTAAAAAAAACAATAAAGGGATTCCATAGGGGGGGGGTAGCCACAGAGAAACTATTTCCTCTGGTGGTGGGGGTGGAGGGAGGGAATCCGGAACAAAGGGGTTTCATCTTAAAATTAGGGGTGAAATCAGGAAGTATTTTTTTCCACCCAAAGGGGAGTGGAGATCTGGTACTCTCTTCCCTCCCCGCCCCCCACACACAGAAAGACTGTGGCTTATGGATGGATCCATTCACATCTTGGGAGTCCTGTAGCTCAGTGGTTAGAGCACTCGCTTTGCAAGCGAGAGACCTGAGTTCAATTCCAGGCAGAGGGCCAAACCTCGGGCAAGTTTCCTTACTCCACACAGAGCCTAATAATAATCCCTCCAAAACCAAAAACAATAATAAATTGGTCATTTTCAATCTACGACTGTTTGTGGGACATTGCTGTGCGCAATTGGCTGCCGCGTTCGCCCACAAATATACAGTCAATTCACTTTACAGTGTGTTCTGTGAAGCGCTTTGGGTCGTCCTCCCGACGTGAAAAGCGCTATATCAAATGCGAGGATTATTATTATTATTATTATCTTCCAAGACTCAGCCAATGATCTAACAGAATGGGGGGGGGGGGGGGGGGGAACCGGCTGGAGGGGCTGAATGGCCTCTCTCTGCTCTGCTCCTGTGTGTGTGCTCGGGTCCTGGCAGCGCCTCCGCCCGTCACGCGCCTCGCTGCCAGCATCAAAGATGGCGGCGGCGGCGCCGCTCCCGCTCTTTTAAACATAAAAACGCCGATTTTGGGGGGTTCTTCGAAGGCCGCGGCCTCGGCCCTCGCCCCCCACACCCCTCGCTCCCGCCCGGACACCCACCTGAACGGGGCGTTTCAGCCGGTGCCGCGTGGCCTGGCGGCGAGTCCAGGTGAGTTTCCAGGCCCTGCGGCCTGGGCGGGAGTGGGCGCCCGGGCCTCGCGACCCCGACTCCCCCACAATCATCACATCCGAGTCCGAGTCGGAGCTGATGTCGATCACCTCAGCCATGGCCGCCCGCTCTGCTCTCCCGACAACCCGCCTCGGTCACGGTGACGGCCCCCCCCGGCCTCAGGCTGCACCCAAACTCTCCCGCCGGGGAACACACAGCCCGCGCCCGCCCGCCATCACCGGCACAGCCACAGCCTCAGCCACTGCCACCCCCACCCCCACCCCACAGGCTCCTCACCCTGAGCCACAGCCACTGCCAGAGGCCCTGACACCCACAAGCACAGCTACACCCACACACATAGCCCAGAGGTTCCTCATCCACAGCTGCAGACACACACCGCCCCCCACAGGCTCTCACAGACACGACCAGAGGTTCCTCACCCGGACCAGAAGGTACTGCCACCCACAGGCTTCACACCCACAAGTACAGCTACAGTCACCCACTGCTACAGTCACCCACAGCTACAGTCACCCACAGCTACACTCACCCACAGCTACACTCACCCACAGCTACACTCACCCACTGCTACAGTCACCCACAGCTACAGTCACCCACTGCCAGAGGCTCCTCACCCACAGCCACAGTCACCCACCTCCAGGGGCTCCTCACCCACAGCTACAGCCATTGCCACCCACAGCCAGAGGCTCCTCACAGATGCACACTACCACCCACAGGCACTACAGGCACAGGCTCCCCACCGCACCCACTACCACCCATCGGTTCCTCACCCGCTGCCGAAGGCACACACTCCTGTTCCTCACTCCTCACCCACAGGGACTGTCACAACTGCTCTTCACCCCTCACGCTCCAGCACTGTCAATAGCAATGCGCACTTTTCACCCACAGCCCATTCCGCACTCTTCACACACAGCCTCTTCTCCCTACTCCTCACTCACTCTTTACTCCTCACCACCCTCGCACAATAAATATTATCACACGCTCCTTTTATCTGATATGCAGAGAAATGAAACGAGACCACAGTATTCTCAGTACATCTATTGTGGAGTCCTGTAGCTCAGTGGTTAGAGCACTCGCTTTGCACGCGAGAGACCTGAGTTCAATTCCAGGCAGAGGGCGAAACCTTGGGCAAGTTTCCTTACTCCACACAGAGCCTAATAATAATCCCTCCAAAACCAAAAACAATAATAAATTGGTCATTTTCAATCTACGACTGTTTGTGGGACATTGCTGTGCGCAATTGGCTGCCGCGTTCGCCCACAAATTTACAGTCAATTCACTTTACAGTGTATTCTGTGAAGCGCTTTGGGACGTCCTTCCGACGTGAAAAGCGCTATATCAAATGCAAGGATTATTATTATTATTATTATCTAGCAATTAGACATTTGATATAATAATAATCCTTTTTGTTTGATATAGCACCTTATCACGTCTTCGAGACGTCCCAAAGCACTTCAGGATATATGGTAAAGTGAGTTGATTGTATACTTTGTAGGCGAAACAATATCTTTTTGGGTTTGTATAAAGCGATTAACTGTTATGGAAATACAAATAATTGTCATGTAACGAACATTTCCATAAACGGTAAATGAATCTCCCAGGTTCGGAAGCAACTAGCAGAAAATGAAGCACACAATCTCTTGACTTAATTGATTAAAATGTACATTGCTATGATAGTGTTGAAATGCACTCACTGTTATCTTCTCGATCTAGTACTGTTGAAGCCTAATCAGCAAATGCATGCAAATTTGTAATGCACTTGGGACTCTAACATTGTAAATGAAAGACTTGTTATTGCCCCCAAATCAACTGCCAAGTAGATATTTCCATTCCTCGACATCAATCAAACTCATGTACACAAGTTCTTATGAGTGATACTAATCTGAAAACAAGTATGTTTCCCCTATGTACATCTGGGGCTCCAACATAGCAATTTCACATCCTGAATGTTTAGTGATAAAATATTAAGCATAATCTTTTCCTCTAGTCATGAGTCTAAAATGTGCTCAAGGGGTTAAACGTTATGAACTAAATATGGCATTTACTCCAGTCTTATATCAGCGCTCAATTGTTTAGGCTGGGTAGACATTTTGACATGAGCAAATACAACAGACAGTTTTGGGGCTTATACGAAGCAATTAAGTGGTATGGAAATTACAAATGTAACAAGCATTTTCCTTAAACCATAAATGAATGTATCTGCCAGGCTTGAAAACAACTAGCAGAATATGAAGCAATTAGCAGAAAATGAACCAATTTATTTACTGGATTAAATGAAATGTACATTGCAATGTTAAGTGTTGAAATCACTCACCCTTCAATGTGACGAAACTGTAGTTCTTACACTTGTTCTGACTTCTGCATTAAAAAGGAAGCAAAATTTGTTCATATTCAGCAGTGAATACTTTCTACTGCAAATGCATTTCCGCTGTCTACTAATTCAAAAAAAAAATTCGCTTTATAAATGTGGTGATTGGCTCCACAAATAGAACTCGATCAGCAAGTGTCTTGAAACTCTTTAGAACATTATCAGACGGCTTGGCTGTCTGATCTTCAGTCTTCGTTATCCTTAAAATAGAACAAGTAACTTTTTCATCTAGACAGCAGATTGGAAAATCTTCAACCGGAGAGAAAAAGCTGAATCATGAATTTAAGTACACCATTTTCGGTCCCTGTCAAACTTGTTTGATTTTCTTTTTTCCACTCACTCACTCATTCACTCACACAAGAAAAACAAGGCACACCTGTTTAGGTGACTTCCGCCAATAAAACATGAAACCCTTAATAAGGCTTGTTGAATTCAATCTGTAAAGACTTACTAATCTTCAGCTACACTGGTTTAGTGTCTAATACACTTTTGTATTTGTTAACCACTGGCCTAACTGTGCACCAATCCTTTCAGCTGCTTGTTCCTGCTATTCTATGATAGAAAAAAATAGAACACAGTATTAAAGAACACAAATTGTTTTTGAGAAGAATATTGTGCTCTGTAGCGTGTTCTGACCTGATGTTTTGACCCTTGCTGTGTGGCTCCGGTTTTTGTATGTCGTGTCTCCGTCCTTTAAGTTTGCCTTTTAGTAGATTACACAAGTTTTTTGCGTTTCATGCCCCCACCCCCTCCCTGATCATGCAAACTTTGAGTGTTTAGCAAGGCAGCAGCTGCCTTCCAGGTTGAAATAAATGGCAAGCTATCAGTGACCACGTGCAGATAACATTTGCAGCTAAACTCAGTTTTATTACTGCAATGAAGTTACTCCAAAGATGGGAAAAATATTTCGCCCACAATGCTTGTAGGACATCCCTGTGCACGATTGGCTGCTGTGTTTCACCCACAAAACTCACATTCACTCCACTTTACGGTATATCCTGTGAAGCGCTTTGAGAAGCCTCAACGACGTGATAAGGGGTTACATCAAAAGGATTATTATTAATGCTCATTTCTCTTGCCATGGTCATTGTACAGTTAACAAAGTGTCTGATTCACGTACTTTATTGTGTGTTAATCTGTGATTCATCTTAGTTCTATCAGACATATCGTATTCTATTCTTTACTCTAATCCTTGTTGTAAATCCATTTATTTTTGCATATGGTTCATTGGAGTCTTGTAGCTCAGTGGTTAGAGCACTCGCCTTGCAAGCGAGAGATCTGGGTTCAATTCCAGGCAGGGAAACCTTGGGCAAGTTTCCTTACTCCACACAGAGCCTAATAATAAACCCTCCAAAACCAAACCATAATAAATTGGTCATTTCAATCCATGACTGTTTGTGGGACGCTGCTGTGCGCAATTGGCTGCTGCGTTTCGCCAACAAATATACAGTCAATTCACTTTACAGTCTATTCTGTAAAGCGCTTTGAGACATCGAGAAGATGTGAAAAGCGCTATATCAAATGCAAGGATTATTATTATATTGGCAGGGCCTAGCTTTCAGTATGTTAACCTGAGACCCAGATGCATCAGGCCTGGTGTTGCTAGCAATACTGTAGACCCCCGCCAACATATCGTGCCCGCTTTTAAGAAATTGTTCCAATTCCTAAAAGCCATTTTTGTCAGCATTGTTCATCCTCTGCTTTTTATGGAGGAACAATTTTTTTTCTCGCTTTTTAGTGTGTTAATTTGGAGTCGAGTTCCTGTAAACCTTCTCAAAACCAACGCTTTGCGTGAGAGACAGCCAAACATAATAATAATAATAGTCCTTGCATTTGATATGGTGCCTGATCAAGTCTTCGAGATGTCTCAAAGCGCTTCACAGAATAATAATAATAATAATCCTTGCATTTGATATAGCGCTTTTCACGTTGGGTGGACGTCCCAAAGCGTTTCACAGAACACACTGTAAAGTGAATTGACTGTATATTTTGTGGGCGAACGCGGCAGCCAATTGTGCACATCAGTGTCCCACAAAGAGTCGTAGATTGAGTGACCAAATTTTTTTCAAAGGGATTATTACCCATGCAAAAGTGATCTGCCAATCGACAAACAACCAGGTTCCTAACTTACTGCTAGACTGACACTTGTCAAACTTCACAACTGTAAACTGGGCAATTACACCGTGGAGAAATTCACGTGGAAATTTTTTTCAACCACACATGAAGAGTGCCAAACTTGAGTGTGATACTAGAAGGGTGGTTGGTGTCTGCTGGAATGACCCCTGCAAATCCTACAACACATTGCCAAAGTTATTATAATCACCTGGTACTTAGAAAATAATTGCACACGTTTGGCAAAATTTGCCATGAAAATCTTACCGTAAGGTTGGAAAATAAGAACTGCTCTGCCTCTACACGTGGACTTTCTTGTTCCTGTTACGTGCGGTTGACTCACAGCAATGCCAACCACTCCACAATTCACTTGGACTCACTCTCCTATCCTCACTCAGAACCACTTCCTGTAGCACATCAGCAGGCTTTTTTTTCCGCTATTTAAGAAAACACAACCAGTAAACAGTGTACATGTCAGTCACGTCACTGACTAAACTGGCACTAAACTTTTTTTTTACGAAGATGAAGCATGATAATAACAAGATTCAGTTTATAATAACGTGACAGTTAACAAGTTGTTCCCAAGTGTAAACCACGAGAGATGTCTCCATTGATTGTGATATTTAGCTGAATAGTGTGGTGTTGAGTAGATTTATCTTTAATATATAAAGAAATCAGATGAAAAACATTCTGAGATGGTAAACAAGAAAACATATGCATGTTATTTTTGTTTCCAAAATCAGAGCCCCAGAGGACGGAGACTCAGTGCATTAGAAAACTGCTGGCTTCTCTGCTTGAGAACCTGAGTTTGAAATAATAGGTTGAATGTAAAAGGACAAAGTACAACAGGTTTGCGGACCTTTGATCAGTTTTTATTCAATACAATTCAAATTTATACAGCGCCATTCATGTCGGGAAGCCGTCTCAAAGCACTTATACTGTACTACATGTTGTTCTCCAAATATTAGCATTAATTGGCATGTATCTGCCATCCTTAGTCACAAGCCTCAAGGGGCGTGGATAATGGAAACATTTGGAGTGTTGCAGTAATGACTTTCATCTTGGGCTGCCGTACAGCTTTGGGAACCTCACCGAGCACCTGACTTGCTCCAGAGGTGGAAAAATATTCCGTTCATTAACACTGACATCTTCCACTTTGATGAACGCTGAAGAGAGAAAAAAAAATCCTTTCCTTCAGCCACTACGCCCGAGACTCTGGAACTCACTGCCTCAGTTCCTCTGCCTCACCCTCCTCTTTGCCTGTCTTCAGGTCTTTGCCAACGGTCGCTTTCCCCTTTCTCCCCGTCTCGGTGTCAAACTACACCATTCCTAAGCGCTCTGAGGTATTGGCCCGAGTGAAGGGCGGGCGCTGTGCAAGTGCCAGTTGTTGTGGTTAGCGAGTGGCGAGTGCCTGTGCCCCCGTACCCAGTCTGGTCCACGCAGAAGCACCCCCTCCAGTGACTCAAACTGATAACGATCATCAACAACAACTTGCACTTATAATAACACGCTTCGCGCGGGGCAGGGTCTCGCGCTTAAACTCGGGGTGGAGGGCTGGCGGCGCCCCCCCCAAAAAACCCGCCCACAAAGAGTCGGGCAAACAGAACACCAAAGCTCCCTCCACAGTAACATTGTGCTACAGTGCTGCACAACACCTCCCTCTTTAGCTGTGACATGAGGATGTGTGTGTGTGTGTGGGGGGGGGAGGAGGGGGCGGGGCGATGACAAACCGCGGGGCGCTGCCCCTTTAAGAGGATCCCTCTGGACCACGTGGGACTCGGGCTGGACCATTCCTGGTGGTGTTGGGAGGGGGGGAGTGCGTGAGGGAGTCGCTGCTTTCCGATGAATAAAAGTGTCCGAAGAGCTAATAACTGACCTGAGCGTTGTGGTGCAAAGAGAGCAGTGGATGTGTTGAGCGAGCGGTGGTGTCGGGAGGTTTTTTTTTGGGGGGGGTGTGTGAGAGACGAGCCGGCGCCCCCCCCCCCCCCCGCCACCTCCCTCCCTCTCCCTGTCCCTCGCGCGCGGGGCGGGTGAGGCCGCGGCAAAGATGGCGGCCGGTTACCTGAGCTCAGCGCTCGAGCACTTCAGGAGCAACGGGCGGACCAAGGAGTTCCCGGCGCACGCCGCCAAAGTCCACTCGGTGGCCTGGAGCTGCGACGGCCGCAGACTGGCCTCGGGCAGCTTCGACAAGACGGCCAGCGTGTTCGTGCTGGAGAAAGACCGGCTGGTGAGGGGCCTCTCCCCCCCCCCCCTCCCCTCACTCCCCACACTCCCCCGGGAGACCCTCACACAGGCCCTCGCGCCCCTCCGATACCCCCCCATCCCCCCCTCTGGCCCTCCACCCGCGGTAGATCCTGAAGTTGCCGTCCGGACGACTGCTCCACGGATCGCCTCCGCCTTCGACTCCCTCTCTCGTCGCCACTGAAATCCAGGACCGTCTCCAAACCCACCAGATCCCTGCGGGGTACCCCAAGGATCCATCCTTGGCCTCCTCTTCCTAATCTATATACTCCCTCTTCGGGATGTCATCCGCAGACATGGGGTGCACTTCCACATGTATGCAGATGACACTATTTTTCCACATCACTTTGCGACCCCCAGTCCCCTGATGTTCTGTCAGCTGCCTGTCAGATCTCAGGGGCTGGATGAGCGCGAATTTCCTTCAGCTAAATGTTGACAAGACGGAAGCCATTCTCTTTGGCTCTTGTCAACGTCTTCAATCGCATGGTTCTCAACTCCTCCGCCTACCCGATCTGCCCCTAAAACTCTCCGAACCCGTACGCAACCTAGGCGTCAGGTTCGACCCCCAATTATCCTTCCTCCCCCACATCCGGTCCCTCACCAGCACCGCTTCCACCTCCGACTGATCGCTCGTCTCCACCAATATCTCACCCCAAAAGCCCCCGAAACCCTGGTCCATGCCTTTGTCACCTCTCGGTTGGACCATTCAAATGCCCTCCTCGATGGTCTCCCCTCCACTACCATTCATAAAATCCAGGTCATCCAGAATTCTGCCGTCTGCATTCTTACCTGTACCAAGCTCCGCTCCCCGATTACTCCAGTCCATGCCAGACTGCACTGGCTGCCTGTCCCAGAGAGGATCGACTTCAAGATCTTCATTCTTGTTTTCAAATTCCTCCACTCCTTTGTATCCCCCGACCTCTCTGACCTCCTCTCCTCACAACAGTGCCCGTTGCCTTCGCTCCACCAGGTCTGGCCTCCTCCTTGTCCTCCGAATCCTCCGCTCCACGATCGGCGGCCGTGCCTTCACCCACTACGCCCCGAGGCTCTGGAACTCTCTTCTTCACTCCCTTCGCTCACCCCCTCTCTTCCTACTTTCAGGTCTCGGCTAAAGACCTTTATTTTTGACCACGTGGAGGCGTCCGGCGTGGAGGGCGCTATACAAATCCAACTTGTATATATATTCCTGTGTCAACAATATTAATATATATTTATATTGTCATATATATTCCTGTGTTGTTGCTGCTAAAGACTGAGGGAAAGGTTTGCTTGGGGAGTAACTTCAATCTGTTCCCAGAATGATGTGGTATTTTTGTGGGTTCCAGGTTAAGGAAAACAACTATCGTGGACATGGTGACAGCGTGGATCAGCTCTGTTGGCACCCAACTAACCCCGATCTCTTTGTTACCGCTTCTGGAGACAAAACTGTCCGAATCTGGGATGTCCGAACAGCAAAATGTGTTGCTACTGTCAACACTAAAGGTAAGCTGTTTATTAAGAATAATTTGGTCACTCAATCCAGGACTGTTTGTGGGATACTGCTGTAAGCAATTGGCTGCCAAGTTTCACTCTCAAATATACAGTTAATCCACTTCACAGTATATTCGGTGAGGCGCTTTGAGACGTCTCAAAGACGTAACAAGGTGCTGTATCGAATGCAAAGATTATTATTATTGTAATGTGGTGCTGCCTCGTGACAGAGCATGGTTTGGTGAGTTGGTAGAATTGGGAAAGATTCTAAACCTGTTGGGTTCTAATGTGTTTTAAAATCTTCTTTTTAAACAAATTGCAAAAATAACAATAACGTGGTTGATTGATTATTGCTTTCCTCTCCAGGGGAGAATATTAACATCTGTTGGAGTCCTGATGGCCAGACGATAGCTGTGGGGAACAAGGACGATGTGGTCACATTCATAGACGCAAAATCGCACCGATCGCGGGCGGAAGAGCAGTTTAAGTTCGAAGTGAACGAAATCTCCTGGAACAATGATAATGACATGTTCTTCCTGACCAATGGCAATGGCTGCATCAATATACTCAGGTCAGGCACAAAATGGTGAACTTCCCTGCAACTCTTAACAAAGAAGATATTAATATATATTTTTTTGTGTTTGGAAAAACTAGCTTTAAAGAAGTTGGTGTTTAAATTTCCTATTGCAAAGTCGCTGACTGTTTTCCTTTCAATGTTTTCATTCCAGCTATCCTGAATTAAAACCGATTCAGTCCATCAATGCACATCCTTCCAACTGCATCTGCATCAAGTTTGACCCAACAGGGAAATATTTTGCGACGGGGAGTGCCGATGCACTGGTCAGCCTTTGGAGCGTGGATGAACTGGTCTGCGTGAGATGCTTCTCCAGGTAAAGACTTTCCCCACTAAACCTTGTATTGGGTTTCCGTAATGTTAACCTTTAGCCAAGAATTTAGAATAGTTTCACCTTCTCATTGACATTGGGTAGTTTTTATATTAATACTCGTAGTATTCTTTGCGCTTGTATAAATTTTGCTGCTGCCCAGTCTATTCGTACATTTCTCTTAATTTTTTCCCTTATGCAAGCTCAGCCCCTGCATATTTGTCCCACTAATANTTTTTAAGGTTAGATTATGTACATTTTTCTCTTTCCCTATCAAGTGACACTTAAAGCAGTAAATGCTGACCTCTGCAGCCGTTTCTTTGATTTCACATTTGCTTTGGACCTCTGCGGTCATGTACACGAGGGTGTAGTTGCTACAGTTTTAACTTCATTGTTTTAACTTCATTTGAGATGTCTAGAAGGCGTGAAAAGCGCTACATCAAATGCAAGGATTATTATTATTATTGCTGAGAAAACAAAGAGCAAAAGACAACAAACACATTACTTGTAAAACACTGCTTTATTAATTGTTGATTTACACAGTAATACCAAATGCCAATTCTTCACGTGTTGGCAGCTGTTTTGTCACAAGCCAAACCATATCTTGACTTTGCTCAATATGTGTACTTCCCAGGAGGAACCACAGGATAGTGTGAGGAGTGGGAGCCCTGGTTTCCCATCTTTTAGTGAGATGTGTAATATAATAATTTGGTCATTCAATCCACGCCTGACTGTGGGACGCTGCTGTGTGCAATTGGCTGCCGTGTTTCACCCACAAAATATACAGTCCATTTACTTCACAACATATTCTGTGAAGCGCTTGTCTCGAAGACCGTGATGAGGCGCTATATCAAAGAGAATGCAAGGATTATCACGTGTGTAATTTTTTCCCCCGTTCAGACTTGACTGGCCTGTAAGAACATTAAGCTTCAGTCATGATGGGAAAATGTTAGCATCAGCTTCAGAGGATCACTTCATAGACATCGCTGAAGTGGAAACTGGTATGACATTTCAGATCTAATGTCGTCTTAATATTTAATCTAATGTGAATCATAAACCATTTGGCTTCACACAAGTTTATGCTTTAAGTGAGAGGACCTCGAAATTTGTTATTTCATTGTTTTTATTAAGTTGAATCCAAACTCATTGACTATTTTGTCAACTTAAAATACGACAGTAGTTCAGTTTACTGAAAGCTTGATAGCGTTTCATTTCGTCAAGTTAAACATTCCACATTGTTTTTTGGTCAACTGGAATAGAAGTGTAACTTTGTTATTTTTCTTCTCATACACACACTCATGCAGACACACACTAAATAAATAAATAAAATAACAAAGCTATTCCTTTGTTTGGCATTTCCCAGACATTGTTTTCCTTCAGTTACAGTTGGCAAACATTTGTTTGATAACCACTGAAATTGTTTCCCATAAATTTTCAAAAGCTGACAAAGCGAGTTTCATTGAGATTTGTTCTCCTCTCTTGACAGGTGAGAAGTTGTGGGAGGTGCAGTGTGACTCTCCTACCTTTACCGTAGCCTGGCACCCCAAACGGCCACTCCTTGCCTTTGCTTGTGATGACAAAGATGGCAAGTATGACAGCAGTCGGGAAGCTGGCACTGTTAAACTCTTTGGATTGCCCAACGACTCCTAAACGGACTTTTACTGTATCACACACATGGCTGCAGACTCATCCCAACTGCCAACACATCTGATCGCTTCACGCATAACGGATGTGGGAACGAAACCGGATTGCCCAAGGGACTCAAATTTATGTATTTAATTTCCGTGTGATGATGTGGAACGATTTTTTAAAAATAAATAAACTTTTTATATTCTATACCAGTATTGTGAGCGTGTGCTTGTGTCCCAGATATGCTGGTATTTTCCAGCTGGTCTGTACACATGGCACAAAAATACTTATCCAAAATCCCTCGCACCTCTTTGACCACCGCCCTCTCCATTGTCCAACTGCCAGCCCGCGGGGCGAATTCATCCCTTTCCTCCTCCTCCATTTCATCTAGCATATCACCTCCTATAACTTGTAAGTGCTATGTTATGTTTCTGGAAGGGAAACGTGAATATATCGCTTATGCGGCCGGTGGACATTTCTCAAATAGGGCATCCAGCCCTCAGCAGCCAAAGGCTTGGACCAGCCTGTCCCTAGATTATCATCACCTGGACTTAAATCCAGCCCTGAATACTGCACTCTAATGAAATCTTTAGTGCAGTGTGTTTGAGGTTGTGTAAAAAACACATTGCTGGGTCAGGGTAGAGGGAGAGACTGTTGGTTTGTATAAGAAACAGCCTGGGGGTGGGGGGACTTGGTATTGTTGGGAAAACGTGTACCATTTCTCACCTCACTAAGGGCAAAAATGAATAAGGCGTTTTTAAAAGAAAATCACGAATCTGATTAGGATTTGTGACACCGAGAACTCCAGCCACTGGCCATTTGTTGCCAAGTATCAAATCCAGGATGGAAACTGCTTTGCTTAGCAGTGTATTGCGCTCCAAAAAAAATCATTAACTTAATTTATCCATTCCATGCCCTTTACTGTTATGACATTGTAAGTCTGTCTGGATAGTTTCATTTGTAGATAACTCGTCTAAACCAGCCTATTCTGCCTCAGTGCTCATCAAAAATCTCTACCCAAATTACTGTCAATTAATTTAAGCTCACTGAGTAACTCAGTCTTATTAACTCTTACATCGTGCCTAGCATACAAAGCCTCTGCGTCAATTTCATCCGATCAAGCTAATGACTAATAATTAAACTAGTTGAGAAAAAAGCTTAAATCTTTATATGGATATGGATATAAACGAGTTAGGTTAAGATTATAACTATTTTGTTCCAATGGTTTTGGAAAGAGAAACAGCTCTGCCTTCATTATCACAACTGATGAAGTGGTGTTAAGAAACACTGATCAATGACAGCTTTACACTTCACAGTCTTGAGCTTTCCAATTAACCAAGCCTTGACACTGCTGCGTGCAATTAACTGCCTCGTTTCACCTTCAAATACACCCTTTGCAATATATTCTGTGAAGCACTTTGAGACGTCCTGAAGATGCGATGCGGCGCTATAGCAAATGCAAAAGGATTATCATTATCGTTGGAACTCATGCATCGTTCTCCATTGAATGTGCATCAATAGCAGCGTAACTCACTGATACAATTAATATTCGCTGATACAATTAATATTCAGTGATACAATATTCACCCTCGTGCTGAAATTGGACAAAGTGCTTTTAAGGCTCCAATGGGAATCACCTCCTTGCACATCCCGATGGATGCTGCTCCATGCCACGTGAGGTTTGGGAAGCCAACTGGAAAAGAACATCAATGAAGACTCTTCATTGTCCGATTGAGGACCCAAAGAACAGGTGTGAAGTGAGAGCAAACTCCTGTTTCTCACACACTATGGTGTAGTGCCGTGAGTTGGCCAGAGGGAGGGAGCATACACTCAGTTATTGTGCAATTACTGTTCCAGCAAAGATGCTCTGCTTTTAAAAACCCTACAAACAAATGTCAAAGGACAACTCATCCCACTCGTTAATTATCGCAGTGACAGAGATAATTTATATAAATACAAGAGCTCGCACTGTGACGGTGAGTTCGAATTGTGAGTTATTTTAGTTCTTCTATGCACTGCAAAAGGATCCATCATTGTTCTAAATGATGTATTAGGTGGAGTTGAGTTGGGGTTAGTTTTTTTGTTAGTTTAGGGACAACATAATGGAGTGGAGAGATTAGTCACTTGTCGAATAGCCGTTTCAAAATCTTGTTGCAATGAATTAGTACATTTGCGGGGGAGTAATTTGGGAGCATTTATTTATTTCCATGCGACGCAGTCCGCTGTATTCATGATGTAGATTAAAAACAGACAGAAATGTAACAGTTTCTAACTATTTTCCTTGTGTAGATTGAGTCGATTTGCCCATGAGAGAGTGTGTGACAGACTGAACCAAATACCAAATATTGTGTTATTTATAAATCACTGCTTGTGGGACACCCACGGATAAATAATAATAACAATCCATGTATTCGATACAGCGCCTTATCACGTCTTGTCTCAAAGTGCTTCACGCAAAATACTGTGAAGTGAATTGGCTGTATATTTTCTGGGCGAAAGGTTAAATAGCATTGTGGTATATGTCTAAGAAAACTGCACCTCTACTTTGCACAGTGACTGTGTAGTTTCAGCAACGTATAATATTGTTCCAGTAAAAAAAATGTATCATTTAATTTGAGCAAATGACAATTTTTTTTGTATTTAAAAAGAAGTTGTCCCATTCAAAGGTGGATGTTAGCTAATCCAGGACCTTGTTAAAGCCGTTGTTGTTGTTGTTGCTGTTGTTGCTGCAGTTGTTTTGCTACAGCGAGTCGAACTAAATTGTTCTGGCAAATAAAATTATAAAGGCCGACACCAAGGTTGTTCTTGTTGTTTAAAAAAACTTACCTCTTTGTTGTACAGTGTAGAATAAGGCGCTATATCAAATGTAAGCATTATTATTATAGTAAAACTTGCATAAGTCTGATCTGTATAAATTGTATAATCGCCTAATTGTACATCTGCCCAAGTCCGGTTCGTGAGTTTACATCCTATGCAAGTTTGACATAACTCATACTTTGCATAAGTCATATAAATGCATAGTCCCAACTGATAAGACTTATGTGAGGTTTACTGTATTATTATTATTACTATTATTCTCCAGTTCCTTGGGCTTCAGCAGTCGTTGTTGATGAACTGCACATTATCCCAAGCGCTCTGGGGTGCTATCCTGCGTGAGGGGCGCTGCATAAATGCAAGTTGTTGTTGGCTGCCACGCCTTTGCTGATGGGGTTTCCGGTTCCAGTGAAGTGGTTTGCGTACATGTTGTTTTGGTGTCTTGTGAACCCTCGGTTGGACTGACGCTCACAGGGGCAGCGAGCGGGGAGGCAGTTGCTATGGTTACCGGCTCAGGGTACGGTTTCGGGTTAAAGCTTACGTGGGGAACCAAGTCCAAATTCCACGCAGACCGAAGCCAACAATCGCCTGTGTCATTGTGGGCCGGTCCTTCGCAGTGGCATTAACAGAGACCATCAGTGCGCGCTCTTTCATCTGGCAAACACAAAACATATTGCACAAGGGAGCTGTTTGTCAAGACGTGCTCTGCAAGGTCAAGTGCATTGCTGTACTTAAAGAAGATGTCAAAATGACATTTATTTCCCTCCAGATCCAATCTCGTAGCCGTTTGGACTATCTCAAGGGTCAACTCATAGGCGAACAGCGTTGCTTTAAAGAGAATTTGTGATGATGTTCACGGGTTTCAGGGGAAAGAGACTTTCTCGGTCTCTGAACTGCTAATTGCGTTTGCTGCGAAATGCCTGGCCACTGTGAATTGCAAACAGCTTCCCTTCTTATCTTTATGTGAGCAGGACTTCAAGACATCTCCATTCAAAGAGCGTGGTAATTGGATTATGAGAACACGAAAACAACCAAATAACAGCTTTCTATTTTTGTTTGATGCACAAATCTGCCTGCCCACATCATGGCTATTGCAAATTGGTTTTCAGTGACACCTTTCTGCTTGGAGAGAGCGCTGTTCAAAGCAGGAGAGAGAAAAAAGAAGGATTTGATGGCTCTTTGTCTTGAATACATTGCAGCTCTTACTAAGAAGCTGAACATTTTGTAAAATGTGGACTAAACTAAACTATTGATTCAGCGTGAGTGAGGTAAATCCCTGATGTCTTCCTGAAGTGAAAGGCGTTTTAGAAGATGTTGTTGTTGTTGAGTGTGGGAGTTCACAGATAACGATCTGTGTGTTCACTTTCTCACCAATGCCTTGTTTGTGCCTTGTCACACAGTATTCTGTGAAGCGCTTTAAGATGTCCTAATGACGTAATAAGGTGATATATCACATGCATTATGCAATATGTGATGTATCACATGCAAGAATTATTATTGGTTCACAGTGGAAGAATGTGACAATTCTGACATGAAAATGGCAGAGACTTGGTTCCATGGGCTGCTCTGGTCCTCAAAACATTTCCTAAAAACAACTTCCACTGTGTCTTTGATTTGTGTCTCCCCCTCCCCTCACTATTTCCAACCTGACTTCAGGTTCCGCTTTGCCCGATTACCCTCTGGGTACAGAGATGCTTCCTGGTTTCTGTCCAGAAATTGCCGTTGTGGTTGATTCTGTGCTTTGCATTTGCAGTTGCTGTGCACAATTGGCTGCCGTGTTTCTCCCACAAAACACGCAGTCACTACACTTTACAGTATGTTCTGTGAGTCGCTTGGAGATGTCGTGACGATGTGATGAGGTGCTATATTAAATGCAAGGATTATGATTACTATAAGGATTATTATATTCTAACTGAGCAACAGGTGCGGAGGAGGACAATTACCCTGCCTCGGTGCCCATGGGCAGAGCAGAGACCAGTCTGTCCTGACCAGTGACATGCTGGAAGGTGGATGTCAGGAGTGATCTCACTGAGGTTTCCGCTATTGCTGATGAACCCTGTCACAAATTGTCACAACTCACCCGTGAAGCGTGCAATCAATTGAGCGAGTGCTAGCAGGTTACCAGGTGACCAGGCAGTGAAAAGAGATGGGAAAGCTAGACTAGAGTTGTACTAAAAATAAGACATCATTTGTAGATGATTTTTGTTAGATCTGGGGCAAAGGTGGGATTTGGCCACATGATTTTCTTCTCAAACATCCACAAAAAGGAATTTTTACCATTTTTTTTGTGTAATTATAGTACATTTTACTCTGTATTCGTACACTGTTCTGTCATACAAGGTTCCATTTTCAACAGAGACTTAGTATTTTGATTACAGCTTTGCTTAGTGTAG